AGACTGAGCTGGCACTGATGTGTCCCCAGAGCTGCCCTTGTGCTTGCACGTGGCCTGTTCCCTTGTGGTGACACAGCTGGCACGTGTGGATGGTGCTGGACCTGCTGCACACCCTCTGAGCTCTCAGGGAGCTGCTCTTTCCTTGGCTTTGCTGTGTAGCAGGTCTGGAACTGGTTAATGGATGCTCCCAGTTTGAACTCATTCAAAGCAGTGAGAGGACTGTGGAGATGAGGGCTGAGCTGTTGTTTCTGACCAGCGACCCTCCTGCTGCAGCCTTGTGTCCTCTGGGGAGTGCGACTGCCGTGGGAAAGCAGGAGAAAGCCCAAGCTTTCAGGAGCTCCTGTCTTGTGCTCAGTATTCATTCTGTGGTTCTGCCTTCTCGAGGGTGGCACAAGTGGTGTCTTACTCTTGCCTTGCTCTTCAGCAGCTTTTGTAGCATCCTTGTGGCTGTTCTGAACAGCCAGAGCAGTCCTGATGCTCCTGGCAGTAGTGATGCTGTTCTGCTGGGAGGAGTGAGGAGCCAAGGCAGAACGTTCAAGCCCACATTGGCTTAGACAGGTGGCTGAGGTCAAGGAGGGAGGGCTTTCCTTCCCCTCTGTTGCATCATTCAGCAGCTGCTGGGCAGCTCTGCATTTTCTGCCACTTAAAAGGGCTTGTCTTGGAGGAACAGTGCTGGTGTGGCCAACGATTCCAGTAGAGCTATGGGCATGAGGAGCACTGCATGGGCTCCTGGGTTGCTCCCAGGCCTCTGGGTGGGATTGTTCTCCCTGGGCTCCTGGGGCATCACTGCTCTGGCCCTGGGACTCCAGCAGTGTTGAGCAGTAGTACAGGACTGTGATGCACTGGGCAGCGCTATCTTTGTGTGCTGTTGCCTGCCCCTGTCTTCCCCCTCCCCCTGCCTACCTTCTCCTGCATCAGCCTGCATTTTTAAAATGAAATAAATATTGACACGGGCGGGATGCTATTCAATTTGTCCTGATCACTGGGCTGCGGTGAGTTCTGACAGAGCACAGTGTAAAACATAAGCTCAGGATGTAATTTCTACTGTCAACATGATGTACAGTATAGCTGTGCCAAATGCACACCAACAAACTGCACAAGCTCTTGTGGGAAGGGGAGGGGGCGAGTTGTGCTGATAATTGGGATGCAGGGATGGCAGAGCAGCAGGAGAGGGGACATCACCCTGGGCCTGGGGCCGTGTGAGGGTCTGGTGCTTCACTCTATGCATGAAAACCTGCTTGGCTTGGTGAGTGCCTGGGCATCCTGCCACGTGGGTGCATGTGTGCTGCTGCCTGCTGGGACCCTGCAGGCTGGGCTGGCTGCACCAGCAGCTCCCACCGGTTATTTATGGCCCCACTGCTCACGTGTGGCAGAGAGAAGTGGCACTTCCAGCTGTTGGTGAGAGATCTTCAATAACACAGGGAAATAAATTTAGTGCTTATCTTGGTTCCTATGCACAGGACTTTCTGTGGTGCCTTGATTCCTGCTGCTGCAAGGGCACGAGCAGGACTTGGGGGTCTTGGCTTCACAGCCTCTGAAAGGGGTCTGTGATGTGATAGCTGGAAAAAGAGTGTGCACACTGAGAAGAGGCATGACCCTGACCTCAGCTGTGGCCTGAACCTCTGACAGAAGAGACACAGGCTGAGAATTCGTGGGTAGAGAAGAAGGGTCTGGTCTGTGGTAAGGAGCCTGGCTACAGGTGTGTTTCTGGATCAGTGTTTTGAGGTGGCTCTGGGTGTGGGGGGGCTGGAGGTCACCATGGGTTGTGTAGATGGGCTTTGCAAACTGGGACCTGGACGAGGCAAATGAGGTTACACCACCCCCACCTCTGCCCATGGGAAGAGCACACAAGCAGCTCAGCTGAGTGTAGCTGAACTTTGGACCCGTGAGAGAGCCACCAGCAAACCACATTAGCAGTAAGAGGAGAAATCAGTTAAATATAAAAAGCAGCATAATAGCTGAGACTCTAAACAGAAGGTTGTGGTTCCCACAGCAACGCAGCCCAGCCCATGGGTGCTCAGCAGGACTCTCCTCTCTGTGGCAGGAGCTGCTCTGTGGAGTGCTCAGATGCAACAGGGCTGAACAAGTTGCCTTGGGAACTGTGGGCCAGCTTGTCCGCCAGCCAGGGAGCAACTCAGCTCCAGTGGAGCTCACCCACTGCAGCATCTTCTGCCCTCACTTCCTCTTTTCTGCCTGGCCTTAGTACGTGCATTTAAATTGTTGCTTTTACTGTTTTATTGGTACATTTTAGGATTGTGCTGCAGCTCTGGCCAGGCTGACATGGAAGGCACAGTGCCCGTTTCTGAGCAAGGAGCAGGGCCATCCCTGTGTGCACAGGGCTGTCTGCAGTGCGTGCCTCAGGTGGTGGTGTCGTGGAGGAAATCAGCTGCCACTCAGGTGTGAAATGGTGTGATGAGGAGAATGAAGGTGGCTCCTGCTGGGTCAGGGAGCCAGGGTTGGTGCTGCCTGCCAGCTGTGTGCCCTGAGCACTGTGTGCTGCAGGCAGTGGGGAATGTGCTGCCTTCGTGCCAGCTCGGTCGGGGCCCCGGATGCTGATGTTACTCGTGGTGCCAGGACCTGCACCATTGGACTGGCTTTCTTTCAGCCTCCCTGTGTGTTCAGAAGGCCTTTGGTGCTGCAGAACTGCTCCCTGGCAGCCTCACTGCTGCCTTGTCAGGCTTCTGGCAGGGCTTTATAAACCAGTGTGGATGGATGTGCTCCTGGATGGCAAGGAGAAGGTACTGGGTGGACAGAGTGGCTGGTGGCTGCCTCTCCCTAAGGCTCTGCTGATGTATTTGTCCTGAGAAATGGACTCCTTTTTAAGTTCTTTTTCTGGCAGTTGCATTTACTAGGTACAATTCATTTGTACTCAGACTTTGGATGCGTCTGGAGGTGTTGTCTGCAAAAATACTGCAGAGTGGCGGGGCAGAGATGCTGAATATGTTCTTCCCACACTTACTGTTTGCCTTGGGTGCTGACCTGAAACTCTTGCTCTGGCAGAGCTTGTGCTGTTCAGTTTATTGACAGCTCTTGCTGTCTGCGGAACTTACTCCAAAATAACCACAAATCTCCCAGATGTGAGAATTTGGAGAGATGCTGTTTGTGACAGTGGTGCACTGTATCTTGGTGTATGTACCTTCTGTGTAAACGTGATAAAGCTCATTTGTACGTGCACTGTTGTTGTGAGTGTTTTGTTCTGAAGCCTGTTGTGAGTCAGGCATCAGCTCCATTGCTCCAGAGCAGGGACCCTCATCTCTGTGAAGTTACTTTACCCTGTGAGTCTTCTAACAGTGGGAAGAGATGACTCAGTCCACCACCCACTTACAAGTCACCTCATTTCCCTAAGTCTCTGATATTAAATACTGTGGTGTCTGATAGGGCTCCTCACCAAATTGGCAAGTGTAGCTCATCCTTGGGGAGCAGGAGCAGGAAGAGTTTCTGCCTGGGGAGGCCTGGCTGCAGGAGACAGTCGTGGCATTGCCAACAACCTTACCTAGCTGGTGCAGAAATGTCTTAATAACAAATGGGCTGGCAGGGAGAAGGGGTGAGGAGGAATGTTAGTGCTTCTGCACCATGATTGCTAACATAAAAATACACTGGAGACCCTGTGTTCCTTGGAGCATGAAGCGCACAGGGCTGGCACATGTGACAGCTGATGTGCATGTGTGAGTGGAATATAGCATGTGTACATGGAGAGGAAATGTGTGTGCACCCAGATGAGGCACAAATACAGACAAAAGAGTGCCAGTGTGTGAGTTATCTTAGCTGTGCATGGGCTGGAATGTGTGTGAGCCCTTTGGGTGAATAGATCTGTGCACGTTGTGTGACACACTACCTGTGAACCACGAACAGGCAGTGCAGAACAATGCCTGGCACTGGTGCCTCGTGGTTCTCAGTGAAGTGTTAGTCCAGACAAGTGAATGCAGAAATGGCAAGGCAGCTCACTGGATGCTTTGGGAAATGGCCTTTTGGTGCAGTCACACAGGGGAATGGCAAATGTGGGTAAGAGCTGGGGAAATACTTGGGAGCTGTCTCTGCTCTGGGCTGCTGGGGCTGTTTAGATTCATGGGGGGGGTCTGTGAAGAGCACAGTCCTATTCCCTTTCTATGGGGAGTAGATGGACATCTAGTTCAGGAACATCTCCCTCTCTGGTCATCCTCTTTTCCCCTCCTATTTAGAGTAACAGCTGACAGGAGATTAGTTCTGCAGACTGGTGCATGTTTCATGAGTAGCTCAGGCTGTGGCTGGAATCGCAGAGCTCTGGTGGAAGCTCAGGATGTTGGTGCAGGGAGAGATGGATGCTGCATCCCCATCTCCTGATCAGGTCTCTTCTCCCCAGGTGCTGACTGGATGTACTGTACTCTGGGCCAAAGGCCTCATGTCTCAGTCTTTAGTGCCCTGCAGGTGCCTTCAAACTTACCCCGGAGCCCTTTTTAAACTGTTACCTTTGAAGTCAGCGAGGTGGTGATTTCTTGAACAGATGCTTTTTCTCCCGCCCATGGCTGCAGAAGTGAGAGGACAGCAAAGCTTCTGCAGGGAAGGCTCTCAGGAGCAGCTGGACAGCCTGCCCTTCTCATGGTCAGGTGCTGGCATCCCCCAGCGTGAGCCTTGTCTGCGAGGGCAGGACTGGTGTGGTCTGGTCCTGCGCAGGCAACAGCAGCTGTGCAGTGCTGGGGGTGCTCCTGCACATCTCCTGACAGTGTGGGCAGCGATGACCCCCTCCAGGCACAGACCCTGCTCCCGTCAGCAGCCAGGGCTGTGTGGTGAGGGGGTACCCTTGTCAGCGGGGTCCTTGGTCTCTGAGTCCTTGCTGGAGTAGATGTCCACAGTGCTGAGAGCTCTGCAACCCCCATTCTGTGTTCCTGCTCTGGCAGGACCTGTGGGGCTGGGCTCTGCTGTGGGGCAGGGCAGGGTGGGATGCTGACCAAGGCTGCAGGAGCAGCATGGGGGGACATGAGGCCCTGCTTGCACACTGGCACTGACACCTTGGCCTTTTCCAGGCTCCTGGAGACGCTGCTGGCCACCCTGCACCTCCCTGCGTGAGCCAGCGAGGATGGAAGTGACCGGGATCAGCTGGGCAAAGGACCCTTCACCGGGTGCTGGGGTGTCGTGCCCCTGAAGATGGGAGTTACAAATGGCCTCCTTGTGAACTGCACGTGTGGCACAGGCACCTGCACTGCCAGACCCCTCGCACAGTAACCCAAGGCTGCCCCGGGACAGGGGGGCGTTGGCCACAGCAGCTCATCCTGTTAACTCCTCCGTGAAAACACAGGCGGAACAGCTTTCCTTCGCCTCCCGTGGATGAGGGTTGCGGGTGCCTGTGCCCCGCGCGCTGCTGCGGCGTCCCCTGCCCTCCGCGGGGGTGGGCAGCAGGCTGAGCATCCCCCGCTCCCCAGCGAGACCGGCGGCAGCCGAGCACGGAGCCGCCCAGCTCTGCCCCCGGGGACAAATGCCAGCTGCCAGACTCTTCTCTGGAGACCCAGGAGCAGCCCGTGAGGCACCAGCACTGACTGCTCCCACGCTGACAGTGGGCAGTCCGGGACGCCTCTCCTCACAGATGTGACTCGTGGTGGGACAGGAGTGCTCCAGCTGCCGGGCACGGCATGCAGCAGGGATGGGGATGCTCTGCACTGACCGGGCAGCCTCACGCTGCTAGTGTGGACTTCCCTCCTACTCTTCCCTAAAGGATGCTAGCTGCCTGTCCAACAGCTCCTGCTCATGCATCCTCCTAGAGTGCAATGGCGAAGGGTCTGCAGGGCTTCTCGTGGACCATGCTGCTGCTGTTCTGCGCCATCCAGGAGCTGGGGTCCTGGGCCGTGCACACGGCGGTGGAGGGCCCTGGCCTAGGGCAGCCAGGGGACCCTGCGCTGCTGGCCGGAGGGCGAGTGAAGCGTGGCTGGGTCTGGAATCAGTTCTTCGTGGTGGAGGAGTACACGGGCACGGAGCCGCTGTACGTGGGGAAGGTAAGCCAGCCCAGTGTCTCCATGGGGCTGAGAGAGACAGTGGCAGAGCAGACATGCTGGCAGTGCAGGGGAGAGAGGGGACCTATGTGAAGGGTGCTCACAGGGGCCTGGTTAGAGAGGTGCTCTGTGGACTGGGATGGCAGGAGTCCGGTCCCTGCTGGGGGTGGGGAGGTTAATGTGCCCCCAGAGACTATGATAGGAGCACTCCAGAATTCATGTCTATATTCTTACAGTTGTGTGCTGGGTTCCTGTGGTGTTGGGGGTGGGTGCAAGGAGCCCCATCTCTTTGGGAGCTGCTGGCAGGTGACAGTGCCTTGCTGGGCAGAACTGGGTCTGTTGGTGGGAGCTTGTCACTTCACTGGTGTGTGACCTCCTGCGGAGGCTGGACATGAACCTTTGCTCCTTTCACTCCTCGTGTCCTGAGGCTAAAAGAGCACTTCAGCTTGGGGTTGCTGGGCTTCAATGTTTCCTGGGAGCTGTGGAGAAGCTGCCCTTGTCTCCCACGCGTTGGGAAGATGTGTTATTTGTATACTGGTGAAGGCAGTGCTGGCTGCTGGGACCAGTCGGAGGAGCACGCTGCAGTCCAGCTGGGGATGTGGGCTCACCCCAAAGTTCCCAAGAGCTTGTACAGCAGGGCTGGCTGATGGCCTCGGCCGTCTGGGCACGAGTCTGGAGGAGGCTTGAAAATGGGTTTCCTGGCCAGGGGCCAGCTGGGATTTCAGCGGTGATTTGTGTCCGTTTCAGCAGACGCTCCAAGCCGCGCTCCTCCACCGCCCTCGGAGCAGGCACAGCTAATTCCTGGCTCCCCTGGGAGCAGCGGAGGCACCGGGCCCTGTCACAGGCCTGGCAATGCCATGGCTCCGAATGAACCAAAAGCTACAACTCACCCATTTTGCAGCCTCTGTCCACACCACCCACCCCATCACCTGCCCCGCTCAGAACAAGTCAGCACTGAGATCACTCCCTGTGGATTCTGCTCCCCAGGGCTGAAAGCCACCAGGGCCAGGCTTCTCCAGGGGCTGGGAAAAGATGTGGTGCCCTTCTGGGTGGTCCCTAGCAGTGTGACAACCCTCCTGACACAGCCCGTGGATCTGGAGCCTTCCTGCACAGGGGGGACCCTGCAAGGTAGCAGGGGCTTGCCCTCTGTGGATGCCTCTCACACACCTACATGTGCTTTCCGAAGGGCCGATACCATTTCCATAAAATCTGGGTTCTCTAGCTAATCCTTCTTCTGAACTGTAATTTCCCCTGAGGCTGCTGTCAGTTTGATGTGGATTTCTTTGGGTTTTTTAAATAGAATTATGGGGTCAGCACTAGTTACAAACTTCTGCATGTGGACAGATCTATTTTAGATAGAGGAGAGGATTAAAGGGAAAAAAGCAGATTTAATTAAGTTGCTAATATTTAAAGAAAATTGATGAACTTGGGCTTTATGAGTTGGAGCAAACAGAGTGCGCCGTTATTACGGGCTAGTTTTTATTTGATTTTCTTTCTTTTCTAGCCCTGGAGTCATTTTTTATTTGTGTATCTGTGCTTCCTGTTTAATTGCTTTTAATAAGGAATGTGCACCTCTGTTCACATTTAATTTTGATTTAATTATTAGTATGTAATTAATGGCTTCGTAAAAATCCTGGTTGTAGTCTTTTAGGACAAGGAAACTCTTTTCCTGTTCAACAAACAGGACAGATCAGCCTTTTGTCTGCCCTCTGGACGCCCTGGTGCTGCGGGCACTGCTGTCCTTGGCTGGGCAAGGGGGGGTCCCTCTCTTCCCCGGGGCACAGTGCTGCTGGCATCCCCAGCCAGCAGTTCTGTGCCAGGGCTGTGTGACTTGGCTCTCCTGCCATGCCCAGGGGTGATGGGATCCCCGAGGCTGCCTGGGAACATGGTGCTCCCCAAGCCTGCCCGCTGTAGCAGCGAGGCCAGGAGGAGAGAACATCCCTGGGATGTGATCTGGGCCTGTGGCATCTCCCCTCGGGTGCCTGTAGTCTGCAGTCTGGCCCTCCCCCATTAGTTGTTGTTTAGCCAAGCAGCACAGATTTAGCTCTTTTAATCTTCCCTTGTAAATCAATCTCTGCAGCCCCCTGAGCCCAGGCTCCATTTTTCTTCCTAGCATTCTGGTTTGCAGGGATGCTGGTGTCTGCTCCGAGCAGTCAGTGATGAGCAAATATGTGAAGAGGTTGTGCTGAGAACTCAGTGTGATGCTGGGAAGAGGTGCTGGGTGCTTTATCTCTGCCCTAATTATTAATCATGAGCCTGATGTTCAGCAGAAAAATGCAGTTGCTTGCGCTCTGCAGACCAGGTGCTCCTTCTTCGTTCTGAAAAGCTCGTGGAGCAGTGGGGACTGGGGAGAGGATAACAAAGTGAAGAGAGAGGGCAGCAAGCTCTCCAGCAGCCAGCAGGGAGGGCTGGGACTTGGTGGCCAGTGTGGGATGACCCTCCCCACAGTCCAGGACAGGATGCTCCGGGTGGCCAGGGTGGGATTGACCCACCCCCTTAGGCACATCCCAAGTGGCTCTGAGCCACCACGATGGTCCCAGACACTGCTGGGCTCACAGCCCTGTTTGTGAGCTGAGTGAAGGTCTCTTTCCAGGCAAGCCTTGGGAGATGTGTCACCATGGGCAGTAATTTGTGAGTGTTCTGCAAAATGCATTGAATTGTCTAACGCGTGGGTCCCTCACTCATGAAATAAATACATAAACTGTATCTAACAAGACAAATATAATGAAGGCATCGTAAAAAAGAGGCAGCTCTGGTGTAAATTCTTCCTGGTAGAGCTGTATGTCTGAAAGGTGGGTTATAGAACTGCAGTTTGGAAGATTGAATGGCCCATAAACATTTTCATATTTCATTAGCCGATTAATGGACGGCTTTTTTCTTTTTTTGGAGGGGGCAACATGACTTTGCTGATTCTAGGCAGAAATTGTAGGAAACAAATGAAAGCAGCTGATGAAACCTTTCCGGGGGCCTGTCCCGTTATGGATTGTCCCAATTAATGCCTGTGCTGCTCTCTGTCAAGATGCATTCTGCCTGTCCAGTTACTGTTAATAGATTTCTCATAAGTGGCTGGATTGTAAAAACCTCATAACTCAGTTTAATGCCACCAATAAAATTATCTCTGGACGTCTGGCCTGGATTCCAGTCAGCTCCTGGTCCATGGGGAACTGCTGTTTACCCTTTCTGTTCCTTATTTCAAACACTGTCTTAATTAGAAAATGAAGCAGAGACTGGCTGCAAAAGCATCTTTGGCAGGGTCTGGTTTTAGTCCTGAACATGAGCCTGATTTGTCACACCCTCTGCAGGCTTTGCCCGGGTGGGGCTCTGGGTGTGATGTTGGGATGTTGTGAGCTCCTGTTACCTTGCCATGTAAACCCAGCCCAGGAGTGTAGTGAGTGTGTGAGCTCTTAGGCAGGGAGATTTGTCAGCACCAGCTACCCAGATTACGGAGGGTGGCTGTGGCTGGGGCAGAGGGGCAGATGGGGATGGACTTTGGGCAGCTGGATGTGTAAGAGGGGGTGAATGCTGATGATGAGGTACCTGTGCAGCTTGGGAGAGGTGATCCCACACTGCCAGAGACCTGGGTTCTTGGCCATACAGAAATCTCTTTCTTTGGAGTGCAGTTGAGTTGTCCTTTCCTTTTCCCTCATCTCCTAACTGCTTGTTGGTGGGGTTTGTCCCTGGGTGTGTGGTGTGGGTGGGCACTGGCAGGATTTCTGCTCTGCAGAGCAGGGTAGGCAGGACAGAAGTTCCAGTTTATTGGGTCTTACTTCATGCACAGGAGTTGTCTGGTGGTGCTCTCTGCCACTCTCCCAGTGGGAGAGAGGGGCATCACCCAGGCACCATGGGTACCTTGTGCAGGGGCTCCAGACCCTTGCAGTCTTGGCTGGAGCTGGGCACAAGCACGGCCCCAGCCTGCTCCCACCCTCTCCCTCTTTCCCTGGCAGATCCACTCGGACTCGGATGAGGGAGATGGCTCCATCAAGTACACCATCTCCGGGGAGGGCGCAGGGACCATCTTCCTCATCGACGAGATCACAGGTGACATCCACGCCACCGAGCGCCTGGACCGGGAGCAGAAAACCTTCTACACGCTGCGGGCACAGGCCCGCGACCGGCAGACGGATCAGCTGCTGGAGCCCGAGTCGGAGTTCATCATCAAGGTGCAGGACATCAACGACAGCGAGCCACGCTTCCTGGAGGGGCCCTACATCGGCAGCGTGGCTGAGCTCTCCCCCATCGGTAGGTCTCCCGGGTGGGAGGACGTGGGTTGGGAAACCTGCGCCTCTCTCCCATCAAAAAAACCTCGAGCCTTCTGTACCCCTTGAAACCACCTGCAAATCCCAGGGATTCCAGCGCTAGGGAGCCAAAAGGGAAAAAATAAATAAGGTGGCTTAAGAAAAACAAGTGGATAAATCCTCTGAGCTGATTGCCAGCCTGTGTCTGAGCGCTCAGTCTCAGCCCTAAGCCGTGCTCTGGGGACGGGTCGTGGCGGTGCCAGCTGCCCGCTGTGCACTGACTCTGGCTTTGCACAGCCCCCTCGCTCCTAAATGCTGGGAGGTTGGACTAAGCCCTTGCATGCCAAGGGGCTCATGTCTGCCTGTGGTTCAGATTAGCCTGTGTGGTGCTTTTTCCCCTCCTCAGGCCATCCTCTGTGTGCTGCGCTGCCCAGCCGTTGTCCCTTGTGTGTCCCCATGCAGCAGTGCCAGGCCCCTCTCAGCTGGATCCATCCCTCCTTTGATGGGCCAGGATTTGTTGGCTGAGATTGAGGAATTCATGTCCCTGTGACAGAAGTGTGGCTCCCCTCTGTTACCATTAGCTGCCCGTCCCCTTGGCACCAGGCCCCTTTTAAGTGTGTTGGTGATCAGCCTTGCTGAAGCACTGAGGGCCAGGCTGGGATGTGTATCATGGGGCTGCAGGAGTCCATCCCCCAGGATGGCCGAGCAGGACAGTCACCTTTGTGCTCACCCAGGTGTCAGGAGGGGTGCAGGGAGGTGGTGTGTGAGCTGCAGTGCTGCTGGCCTTGCTCCTGTGCTGGCTTGGTGCTGGATTCCCATGCTGCTGAGCACAGCTGGAGTCCAGGAAAGTGGCTGGTGCTGCACTGCCCGTGCTGTTCCCAGTCCATGCCAGGCTCTCTGTTACCCCCACTGACAAGCCTGAGCTCGTAGCAGGCTGTGTGTGTTGGCAGAAGCTCTAAAGCACTGTTCTCAAAGGCTGCATCCAGGTAGAAGACAGCCTGTGAAAGACTAACATCAAAGATAAGGCGGGTCCCCAACAGTGTCAGAAAGGAATGAGTTGGCACAGGAGACAGGAATGGTGCCAGGACTGTGGTGAGACCCCCAGGGAAGCTGCACCAGGGCTTGACAGGTCAGGTCAGGTGAGCTGCCAGATCCTGTCGTGCTGCTGCAGGAAGGTCTGGCTGCAGAGACATCCTGGAAGCAGAGCTCAGGGGATGGTGCTCGGGTCTGCACTGCCTCAGGACAGAGCTCTGTCTCTCCGTGGTTAATATGCAGCATATTGCAAAGCTGGTGCGTGGCCTCCAGCAGGTACAGATGTACAGGAATTGCCCGCACCAGAGGAGCTGCTGCTGCCTGGATTCTGTTGATGTATGGAGAACAAGCTCTCCCGAGGCGTCCCAAGCTCTCCTTCCTCTTCCCGTTACCTGCACAGAGAATGACCCCTTGAACTGCAGCCATGTGCTCCTGGAGAAACGAAAGGCAGCATGTGGGCACCAAAGCAGGAGGCATCCAGTTCCCAAAGAGAATAAAGAAATTAAATTAATCTAATTTGCTTGAACAACATTTTAAAAAGCAAGGAATTCTCAACTCTGAGTATTAGACAAGGATCCTAGTTCTTTGAAAATCACTAACAATTATGGAGCCGCCTGATCAGACTGATGTGAACAAGACATATCAAAGGAGACAGTTTCTATGCGAAATTGGAGATCAGAGGGAGAAAGAAACACGGTTTCACAACATGAAAGGAGGCAATTCCTGCAAATTAAAACACTCGGAAGTTAAAAGTAAAGAGAAGTGCTGTGAACGGCGTGGGCTGTGCTTCCAAGCTGTGTGCTTGGAGAGGGGAGCCGAAGCCAAGAGCCTGTTCTGCTTTCCGGGCTGTCTGCCTGTGACAGCCTCAAAGCCTTGTGCAGCCTGGCCATCCTGGGGAGCACACGGGCTCCTCTGGAGCAGCCTCCCCCTGGAGATGGCCCAGGGAGAGCCTCACACATCACCCTCACGTGGTGCTGCTGCACAGTGTGAGTGCAGAGCCGGAGGGTACCCACATGCTGCTGCTGCTGCAAGTCCCCAGCTCCCTCCCGCTTATCCCTCGGCTTACCCAGGAACAGGCAGCACGAAGGACAAGATGGACACGTCTTGTGAAAGCATAAACAGGCAAGCCTGACACAGAGCTTTCTGCTCAACCCTCTGAGGTTCAGCAGCTGGGAGGGAGATGGGGCTGGTCATGGACCTGATGTGTGAAGTTCAGCTCCAGATGCTGTAGGAAGGTGCTGAGGATGCAGGACATGGGAAGCTGCCTGGGCTGGGGAGGTGAAGTTCAGGGTGTTCTTATGGGAAATGCCCTGCCAGGCCCTTCTTGTGTGGGAGTGCTCCTTTTGTGGCATGAAGTCTGGGTGCAACTGTGATCCTGGCTTTGTTGTGGTTGGCATTGGTAGCAATGACTCTAAGCTGGGCAGATCATCTTCCCTAGACCTGTGGGGTATTTTCACAAGAGTGAATGGGGAGCGTGCCTTGCTGCCTTCCTGAGTGTGGATGGAAGTGATCCCAGCTTGGTGCTGGCCAAGCAGGGGTAGGAGGGCTGGAGAGCTTGAAGTGGCTATTAGTGTATCAACATCAAAGCCTGGGGACCCACAGGAAAACGTGCCTGCTCTCAGCTCTATTTGGGTTCAGCTGTGCTCTGCTGGGGGAAGCGACACCCCAGGAGCAGGGCTGCTCTCCAGCTTGTTTGTAAAGAGCTGCTCATTCCCTGTCTTGCTGCTCTGACAGCCTTTGCTCTGCAGCCCAGCCTGAAAAGTGAAGGGTGACCCCTTCTTTCTCCTCTCATGCTCCTGCCTTCCCAGACCTCGCTGGGGTTTGTGCTTGGGTGGTTTTTGTTCCCACTCCAGGCAGCTCTCAGACACACTCTCCATTCCCTGCCAGAAGCAGAGTCCTCACTCCCAGAGGTGGGTGCCTTCCTGGGGCGTGAAGAGGAATAAACCAAACACAGTCAGATCCGCTCTGTGACAGCAGGAGCAGATCAAAGGACATTATTTGCATAATGAAGGAGTACTAATTGGGAGGGAAAGTCATTTGATTTCCTAGTGTCTAAGAGGGAATAACAAATGAGAGAACTGCACAAACTCTCAGAGTAACTGGGAGTAACAGGGGGCACAGCTGCCCCTTGCTCTGCGCTGGGGCCAGGACAGTGTGTTTTGGTAGACAGCATATGTGCTGCTTGAGACTAAGTCAGAGTGGACTAAAGGCCTCTTTGTTCCAGGATCTTGCCTTGACAGTGGTCAGAGTGCACACTTAGGGAGGAGGAACAGCACACACAGAATGTGTGATGCTCCTCTTGATACTCTCCCAGCCAGCATTTGGTTTCAGCTTGGGAACTTCTTCAGTTGTGGTTGTTTTCTGTCCTGAACTTATCCAGACACACTGTTAAACTCTGCAAAGGGAAAAGAAAAAGGATTGCTGTTACTGGTGGATCAAAAGTGGCAGATGCATGATGGCCGGGAAGGTAAGGCCAGAGTCTGGGATTTGTAAAGGGCAGAGGTGGTGCCTGGAGACAACTCCAGCCCATGAGCCAGGCTGGAGAAGTCAGTGTTTTCTACACAATGTGGGATGTTGTTGGGATGCAGAAGAGGCAGCTGGACCTGGGTCTGGCAGGGAAGACAGCCATGGCTGTGGTGGGGTGGAGGGGTCCCTGCTCAGCCCCCCAGGGGAGCAGGGCTGGAGGGAATGCACTGGGGTCACACAGACTGAGGAAGGCAGGGGCTGGTGATGCTACCTGGGAGCAATTTTGCTGACTCCCCCTGTGCCTGCTGCTGGGGAACAGTCTGTCTGCAGGAGGGAGCCTGAGCTGCAAACCCTGTTTATACCTCCACTGCTGCCCTGTCACCTCAGATTTGCTGGCCAAGAGCTTCCAGACTGCTCCATGCTGGCACCTGAGGCTCAGCCTCTGTGGGTACCCCAGTGTGGATCAATCCAAAACATCTGAGTTGAGCAGAATCCAGACCTACAGCTGCAGAAGGTAGGATGGGACCCAGCCAACAGCCTTGGAACTGCAGGAGCTTCACCTTGTTACAGGAGATGCTAAAATTAGCTGTATTTTGGGCTCCTTTCCTGAGCTCCCTGGGGTCTGTTTAACAGCTGTCTGCTGCACTCAGGCGTGAGCCCAAATCCAGCACACGGTGCCTCCTGCAAGACAGCTCTGTTGGTTGCACAGGGTGGGTGTTAAAGCCCAGACCTCACTTCTGGGCTGTTTGGGGAGCATGCAGAGCCTGGAGTGAGGGGCATGCCAGGAAATGCACATCCTTTCATCAGAACATCACTCTTCCCTTGGTGTATTTTGCTCTCATTTCTCTGTGTAGCACCATGTCCAGATTAGAGACGATTTGGCTGTACAGACAGAAACTTGGGGTCAAGCCCTGACTCTAGCACAAAGCTGGCTGAATGCAGAAGTGATTATTGTGAAAAGAAATTGTTTAATCTCCAGGCTGGAAGCAGAGAAAAACACTTTGTTTACCATAGAACCAGAACACTTGCAGGCAGTCTGATTTTTTTTTTTTCCCCCTTGATAGAAAGTGCTTAAAGCAGTTGTGTGCATCTGGAATCTGCTGGGACAGCAAGTGTCTGGGAGCTGGGGCTTGCACTGTCTGTTGGTCCTTAGTGAGACAAGTCCTTCCCCATCTGCTCTGGGTCGTGGGGCAGACTCTGGATGCTCTGCCCTGTCCATCTGAGCACCTCATCCAGTCTGCATGTGCACAGCCCCTCAGGGAAGATGAGCCCCTTCATGAGATGCTTTGGTTTGCTCCCCAAGGCACCACGTTTACCTGCTTGGTGCCAGGGCTGGGGTGCTTTGTGCCGTGGGTTTCTGTGGTTGGACACCCCAACAGATGTTTCACAGTAGCACATTTGAGTGTTGGCACCCCTGCCAGGTTAGTGCCCTCGGGCTTGTCCTGCGGGGTGTGAAGGCTGTGCAGTGAATCTCCTCTGGGTCTGGCTTTCTACCAAGTCAGAATGTTCACGAGATTGCAAGAAACTCACTTCTGCTCCAGTAATTTTTAAGCTTCTCTAGTTCATTTTCTTCCCTGATGTCCCGCCTGCGTGTTTCTGGGGTGCATCAGCCACTGCTGGTTTTTGGGCCAGCAAAAGCTGTAAATTGCATTGTTCATAAAATCCCACCTGCCTCCTGCCCCACGGCACCCAGGCCCCTGGGATGGGAGTGCTGCACACTGGCATCAGCCCAGGGCACGTGGGTTTGCATGACACAGCACTTCTTGCAGGGTTCCTGATGTTCTGCGGAGGTGAAATGCCCAAGTGCTGTCCTGGAGCTGGTCAGATCCACACAGAAAGGGCTCTCAGCACAGCTGGAGAGCGTCCTTGGGCTCTGCCTGAGCTGGAGATGCTGGCTGGACCCCAGAGCTGGATCTAGAGAGCATCTGGAGACTCCTGGCTCCACCACGGAAGGGTGTCTGTGACTGTGGGGAGGGACGGTCGATTTTAGCAAGTGTTGGCTTTTCCTGCTGCTCATTTGCCTCTTTGCTGGCCCAGAGCCCAGCTGTACTTCTGTCCCTGGGGAAGTGACAGGTCCCAGTGGCTTGCTTGTGGATTCAGTGCAGGGCCTCTCTGCTTGTGGATGTCTTTGGAGTTTGCCTGTCAACATTTCTTTTAGCTAAATGTGTTTGGAGTGAGTGGCATAGCAAGTGGGCTGGAGCTATTAGCCTTCTGCATGCAGGGTCGCTGGAAACACCCCCAGAGGCTCCAGGTCCTGTGGGAAGGTGGTGATGGATGCTAGGAGAGGTGTGCATTGGTATTCCAAAGGTGTTCTGCAGAGCCCAGGACTTGTGGATTCCTGTCCATCCCAGACAGGGATCCTCTGGATCTGTGGGGTGAGCTGGCCATGGGAGGAGCCAACATCTTATCTCATTTTACATGTCTAATTATCCCTCTGGATACGAGCTCAGGCTTCTTGGTTATGGGAGGAGGGTGATACAGCACATGATGGATGTTTCGATTTTATTTAGTGTATCTTTTATGGCCAAGGCACATGCCAGAAAACTAAATAAAAGCTGTACATGCTGTACTTGCTGTGGGCAGTGCTATGCTTGGAGAGCAGGGACTAATATTGAAGCATGGTGGGAGCCAGGGAAGGCTTGTCTCTGCGGGAAGGAGGGGGCTGTGGTCAGCTGGAATTCAAGACCAGTGCTCTTCACATGGAAAGAGAGTGGGAGGGAGGGGTGGAAAAGGGGTAAGTGGGGTTTAAGAGAGGAGGCTGGAAAGTTGAACTCATAGGTCCTGATACCCCAGTAGGTGACCTTGAGCAGGATGCATTACACCTTCACAGACTACAAGTCAAGGCACAAAATGGGGTCAGTGTTCCCTACCTGCCTGTTGTTGCTCATTTGTTAATGAGATGTTGTGAGGGCAGGTGGGAAAGGGCAGACCCTTCATCACCTCCAGGGTTGCTGGCTGCTGTCCAAGGCCAGTGTGCCCCATCCTGCTGCCTCTGAGTGAAGGTGCCTTGCTGCAGTGTCCCTTAGGCTGCTTGGTTCCCCTTGCCCCAGAGCAAAAAGCTCTGGGGATTCATGCCTGAGACCTGGAACTGAATCTGCTGCCCTGTTGCTCCAGTTCTTGGGAGTGTCCAGCAGCTGTGGGCCAGGAGCCTCCTGTGCTGGCACAGGCAGACTTGAGAGCAGCAGCTCACCTGACCAGTCCAGGGCATGGCTTAGAATGGAGACACAAACTCCACTGTGGGTGGGCACAGATCCTGCCCCCTCTTCAGACTCTGGCACTGCTGCAGTTTTGCAGTTCAGGTGAATCTTGGAACACAGGAAGTACAGCTGTGCCTGGCAGGGATGAATTAGGACGTGAATTATGCAGCTGAGTGAATGCACCTTGTGAGAAGCAGCATGTGATGCAGAGCCTGGCACAAACTTTTAGTGGTCAGCCAGCCTCTAATGATCCTTGTTCTGGCATCTGTGGGGTGATTGCTCAGAGGTGGCTGGAATAGGAGGCTGTGGTGGAGCAGAGCACCTGATCTGTCTGCATGTGTGCAGTCCTGACTCAGGCTATGCTGTGTACAGGGCGAGTGCAGGCAAATAACCAGTGGGCTTGTGTGGGTGAAGTTTTGGTTCTCCTATTCCTAGGGAAGAACAACTGGTTCTTGGAGCGTGGGATGTTTGTGCAAGGTCAGCAGGCTCTGCTGTGGTGGTGATGGGTGCAGGAGTGGGTGCTGCTGTGGACACCAGGCGTGGGCTCCCATCTGGTTGCTGCCAGGCTGAGCAGAGGGGGAGCCCTGTCTGTTGTCAGGGACAGATACTCCTTTTTGTGATTCTCAGACTTTGGCACCTCCAGCATCCCTAGGAGGCTTCTCTGCTGTAGCTTGGAGAACCTCACGCCGTTTCCCTTCCCCGGTCCCTTTTTTTGCTTTCTGATCAGAAGCTTCCCAAGGGAACATGCCAGGGTGTTCTGCTGGTGTGGGGGTGATCTGCCTTGGCTCATACCTGCTGAAAGAGTTGTGTGATGGCAGGGAGAGGAGGAGGAAATGCAGCAGTAGTATTTCTTAAACAGTTGTTTGCAAGGCAGAGAGCCAGTGTTGCCGTGGTGTAATCTGGATGTGCCTGGCAGGGATGCACCATAACTTCACTGGAGACAGCAAAGCATAAATAAGTTGACTCAAACTAGCTTGTTGCTGAAGACCGATGAGGGGGATTCTCCTGTTATCAGCAGAGCTGCAGCTCTGAGAAGGCTGCCAGGGAGAATGAAAAGCAACCATGGTAACTGCTCATTTTCTTCAGTGAACACCCTTTCCAGGAGATCGGAGTGAACTGGGCTGAGGGGAGCATGTGCATCCCAGCTGCTCACAGCAGCACTGCTGTCTGCGCTGTCTCACCTCCTGCCCAAGCCCAGGCAGGGCTGGTGCAGGAGCTCCCTGGCTTGCCTGCAGGCTCTGGGCTTGTGGTCTCCTGACAAGGGAAGAGGAAGGCATCAGGGATTGGAGTTCTCCATCTCCATCTGGATGGCTTCAACTCCTTTTCTGCCTGATGCAGATGTGGCAACAGAGAATGCTTCTGACTTTGACTGGTGGCAGTGCTTGACCTCTGGAGTAGGGATGCACTGAGTCTGGTGCTGGAGGTGGAACTGGGTAGCCTGTTCTCACAGCACTTTGGTCACACCACCTCCTTCCTCAGGGTGTCTGTAGGTAGGATTAGGCTTTCCTTCCTTCCTCCCTTCTGTTGTCTCTGTTGATCTCAGCCCCTTTGCTCCTGCCCCCATCCTCGTGCCCTGGGTCCTGCTTTTGTCAAATTGAACATGATGTCAAATTAAAGCCATCACAGGGGCAGTTGGAGTGAAGTACCCAGTTTAATGAGGCAGCCCTGAAAATCAATAACTTAATTGCAGACATTTGATGGACTTTTATCCAATTTGTAATCCTCCTGCCCTGCTACGTGTAGAGCATGAGGAGGTGGTGCTGTGTCTGGCTCTGGGCAAGCAAAAGCCTTTCCTCTCCCGTGGCTGTTGTCCCTGTGCAGGTCTGCCTGCTGCAGAGGGGTGCTGCAGTGTGGGTCAGGCCTTAGCTGGGAGGATCCTCTGTAGGCTAGAGGTGACCATGTTGCTCTGTGTTGACAGGAAGGACAAGTGTGGGTATAACATCTCATCCCCAGCTCCTTCCAAGATGGTCCAGTAGAAGTCTACTGGGAGAAAAATTCCCAGCTATTCAGACCAGTGATCTCCTGGAGAGCAGGTCCTGCCCCAAGGTGGCCCAGGGTCCTGCCACCCTGCAGCATAAGAGGGGCATTCACAGCAGTGTCTGGAGTCCTGGATCCCAGGCTTTTGTGGGGCGGTGATGCTGCATTTGCACCCAACTGTTCTTGTTTCCCGCGGCATTTGCAAGCAATCAAGTGTTGGCTCCTGCTCTGAGGTTTGTGCTGCTCTTCTCAACTCCTCCCTGACTTTGTTTCCCTCTCTGTCCCTGCTGCAGGCACCTCTGTGATGCAGGTGATGGCCTCTGATGCTGACGACCCCACGTACGGGAGCAGTGCCAGGGTGGTCTACAGCGTGCTGGAGGGTGAGCAGCACTTCACTGTGGACAGCAAAACAGGTGAGCAGCACCCAGCTGGGCTGGGGCAGGACACCCTGCCCTGGCCACACATCCTGAGCTGGCTGTGAGCCGGCAGATCTATGCTCCCTGGTGATTGCCAATGCTGGGTGCCCATGGCAGGAGTGTTGCTGGGTGGGTTCCATGGCAGGGGCGTTGGAGGGGAAGCCCAGCAGCCCTGCAAAGTGCTGCCCAGCTCCACGCCCTGCCTGCAGCAGGCAGGACCCAGAGCTGCCAGCCCAGAGTGCCTGGTCTGCCCCTGCACTGGCAGAGCTCCTCTGAGCTCTGTGCCTGGAGCAGGAGTGCACCCACAGGCACATAAAATCTCACTGTAGAAGGTTTAAATACTACCAAAGAGGCCTTACCAAAGGGTGCATCGTTATCACAAGGGCTTTGATTAAAGGTAACACTTTAAATTAAGGATTGGTTTATAAATGTTCCATTAATATTTAATGAAAGAACAGTAGAAGCTGCTCCATTCCTTAATAACTTATAATAGGGGCTGTTGTAAAATGCCTCTGTAATAAATCCCTGGCAGATGATGCTCTGACATACTGGTTAGAGTAGACCATAACCAGGAGATGTTGGGGTATATATTCTCCTTGCCTCCCAGGAGTGTGACTCTCATTACCCTTAATGGGAGCCTCACAAGCTTGCTAAGGGGTGAGACGCTCAAATGCTAATAGGAGATATTTAAGGCACAAAGCATGCAATAAAGTGCCCACAGTTTAATGAAAAATTGTCAAAGGACAAGCAGGCTGGGGAGCTGCAGCTTGTGTTGGAAGACTGGACAGCAAAGTCCCTTCCACCCTATTGCTGAACCATAATGAGAGAGAGGCTAAGATCAACCCCTGGGCTAAAGTGCCAAGGCTCTGTCAGGCTGATCTGTGTCTGTGCTGATAGATATTTTCTAAGGCTATTTTTATGTAAGTCAGAGTGAAATTTATTTGGAGACTCTGGTGTAAGGAGAGTGTAAGGAAGGTCTGTGTGCCTGAGCCGCTGCATCTTCATTAAACCCTGCACTTCCTGACAGTGGTTTGGTGCCTGTGGGGAAGCTGGACACTGCCCTGGCTGTGCCACCTGCCCTGGCTGTGCCACCAGCCTGGCTGCTGCTGGAGGAAGGCTCAGATTTGGGAGTCTGGGAGCTCCTCCAGCAGTACCAGGGTATGTGGTGGGAATTGCCTTTGTCTGGACAGAGGCTGGTGCAGTGCAGAGAGGGCACAAGCAGCAGGTTGGGGCTGTACCTGCTCCTGGTTCAGAAGCTGCTGCAACTGGGCTCTCTTGTCTCCCAGATTTGCTTTGTTTTATACTGTGTGTTTATGAACAATAGGCTAAACACTGAAAATTCAGGTGCACGTGAGACCCTGTTAATCTGAGACGGCTTTGTGTGAGTGAAAGTCTGGCTGCTGGAATGGAGAGGGACCACTGGGAGCAAACTGCACAAGCCAGAACATGCAGAGGCTCAGCTTCCTGCCACATTAATGCTCTGTATTAAGGCATAAACTAAAATGTGCCCTGTGGGACTGTGGTGAGAATTAATGTCACTCTGGGAATCCAAGCTTCTTGATTCCTTGACTTTTTGTGTCTTAATTCTCAAGCTGGCTGTTTCGTACACTGGGGGGTTGATTTACTGTTCTATTTGCTTGTAATTCATAGCAGTGAAACTGCTGACAGTCTGCAGAAGAGTCCTCAGCCCCTCTTGAGCCTGTCTGTTCCCAGAATATCCGACCGCTAACGCGGGCATTGGGGCTGACTCCGGTGATGTCTGAGCTGCAAATGGCCCGTGGCAGCTGCCCCGCCAGGGCTGCGGGAACATGAGGTGCAGCTCTGCCTGTTGGCCTCTCAGGTTGTGGCTGCAGCCTGTCCTGTGGCCTCGTGCCCCTCTGTCACTGCCGGCCCACGTGGACATTTCTTCGTGTCCACCCGAGCACATCCTGTCCTGCTCCCACTCTGTGTTAGAATAGGGGTTTTTTTATGCTGCACGTGGGAATCCAGCTCTGATTGCCCGGGGTGGCCACGCTTCTGCCCTGAGCATAAGATTTAATTAACCATAGCAGCAGCATAACTCTCAGAGCCACCATTGTTATTAATGGCCATAAAAAGAACCATAAAACCCTGGCATGTTACATTTCTTATAATATATGGTAATGAAGAACAATTTGTTTTCCCTATTTGGTTTTGACCTCCTTCTCTGCCTTTCCTTGCATCTGCTCCCTTGCACACCACCTCAGCCCCTGACTCCTTCCAGCTTGGCTTGTTTCTTCCCTCCTTGTCTTTGCAAGCAGCTCTTTTCACACCCCCTCCTTCATAGCACAGGTGTGGCATGAACAAGACTGGTTTGCACACTCGAGCACAGGATATGGACCATGTGTAGCTTAGTTTGTCTCCTGTTCTTGGATGTTACCAGCTGTAGTGTTCAGCTGGGATTTCATATTCAATGGACCTTTCACAGGCAGACCCAAACTGTCTGGATAATGTGCTGTGCCAAGTCCTGCCATTCAGTAAGCCTTGAATACCCAGAGTGCCTCAGGTGTCTTTTTGGAGATAGATGAGTGACTAAATGGCTCCACTGGAATAGCGGGTGCAGCATCATGGCATTTGAGCTGTAGGAAAATTCCAGTGTTGAATGATGGTGAAGAGAAAGCACAGTTGATGCACATGAGCTTTTCTTTCTTTCGTATACACCAGCCACTCTCATGCCTTGAGAGTTAAGTTTCAGACACTGAAAGTTGTGCTGTGTACCCCAAATCAGGTTCAAGAACTTCCCCTGTGCGTGTTGAAGGTCCGGGCTGGCTTTTTTGGTATGTTAGTGAGGAGCTTTGTGTGCACAAACTGTGAAGACAAGACTTTCTGTGTCAGCTGTAAGAATATTCCAGTGGCTTCTCGCAAGAGCCTGCAGGCATTAGTCCTGTGTAAGCTTTGTGCTGCCTTCCTCATTCATTGTCAGTCTGCAGATGGGGTGCAGCTGATCTTTGCTCCTTGCAGCAGGTGAGCTGCAGTGCCCAGGCTGTGGCTGCCCTGCTCTGCTGGAGGAGTCTGTGCCCTCACAGAATGATCACACACCTCTGGCCCACTGCTTCCATTGGGAAACAGCCACTTCTGCCACTCTGGTGGGTGTTGGCTCTCTGATCTAATCTGATGGCAGAGCCCCCCTCACCACTGCTGGGCCACCATCCCAGCTCTGCCCAGAGGGACATGGGGCAGGAGATTTAGTGCCAGCTTCTGTGCCAGCTCCAGGAATCTCATCCTCACCAAAACCTTTGAAGCTGATGCTTTTAAGATGCAGAGATGGGCATGTGAGCGTGTGGCTCAGTGCATTTACGTGAGAGGAGAAATTTGTGCATTTAAATCTGCAGGCCATGTTTTCATGTTGCTTTATATCACCCTGCACCTCTGCAGATTATTCACCTTTATAGGGGCAAATCTCTCCTTTGGCAGGCAGCTGTGCCTGCCTGCTCATGTCTGTTCCCACGTCCTTTGCAGTGCCCTTTCTCATCCCTGGGCAGTGTGGCTGGAGACTCACTGCTGCCTGTGATCCCTGCCCACAGCCTTGGGAGGGAACCTGAAAATGCTCGACACCCAGGGAGGGACACAACCTGGTGTCCCTGCTTCCAGCAGTCTTGTTCATCTCCTTGCAGGGATATTTGCTGCTACACAACAGTCACAGCACATAATACCACAGGCCTCCTGATATTCGGTGCCTTCCTTAAAATCAAGGGATTGTCAGTTCAGGAGAGTGCATGGGAACCTGGCTTTTTACTGGAAGGAAGAGGTTATTCTTAAAACTTGTCATTCTGCTGAATGCAGGGAAAAAGCAGAAGGATGCAGAGGGTAGTTGAAATGCAGTCTGGCATTTGTGATGACTTAAGACGGCTCCTAAGTTCTAGAGCCTGTGTCCTGATTGAAAACTGAGCTGGTAAGGGCTTAAGGTTTTTGCACTGGGGAGAGCAAACTCAAGATACCAGCCTGCTGGGATGAAGCTGATGGTTATTTGTGTGCAGTCAATAGTTGTTTCATCCCTATCAGCCTTGCCCTTTGCAGGCTGACCTGCTCTGGGGCAGTCAGGCTGGACTGGGAGAGCTGCTCTGACTGGGAGCAGGCAGCAGCTGAGCTGGGCTGGTGAGCTGTTGGGTCTGTGTGATGTGGTGGTGGGAGGCAGAACGTGTTCCTCTGCTGTTCTTGCCAGTTTGTTAAAAATGGTCCCCGGTGACTGGAAACACAGCTATATCAGCATGTGTGTGTTTTCCTGTGAGCCCAGGGGGTTGTGCAGGTCTGTGCCCCATCCCCATCCTTTATCCACCAGAGCTGCACAGACATGAGGGACTCTGAGTGTGGGACGTGAGAGTCTGCAGAGAAATCACATTTATTTAAGGGGATTGCTCTTAATAGCAAGACTGAACATTAACAGTCCTTTTCAGAGACTGGTGCAGGAACTTCAGCTGTTTTGGGACCACAGTGTATGTTTGGTCATCTTGAGGAAATAAGAGTGTATCTACTAATGTGCCAAGGGAATTAATGTTAAATGATGAGGGATTTAGCTGCTAAAAGAAGGGACAAAGGAAGGGTGAGTGGGCTGGCCTGTCTGTTGGAGCTCACTGTGGGTGCCTCCCTCTGCACTGGCACAGGCAAGGCTGATTCCAGCCTGGAACAAGCCCTTGTTAAGTGCTCCTCTCTGAGAAGTGGCAGTAGCTCTGTCTCTGTAAGTGCTGCCCTAGAAGCTACAGGGCACACTGGTTTGAATAGGACTTGGCCACCTGCTATGAAGGGTATTGTGTTGGAGATCTCCAGCTGCAGCATCCCTCAGCCCCAGTGATTCTGCACCCTTCCAGGTAACTTTGGTCAGCTTGGCTATGCTGATGAAGCCATAAATGTTTTCATTTCTGGATTGCAGCCCTGTACCTTATTTGCTGAAGAGCCATGAAGCTCCTGAGCCTTGTGCCCAGCACCTCGCTCAGACCCCCCGTAGTTTCTGCCTCCCAAATTGTGCTGAGCTAAAGGACAGGAGTGGGGGCTGTGCATGGAGGGCAGATGAAGTGCTGGTTCTTGGGGCTAAGACCCCTCCTGCATGGGCTGACCTCCTCCAGGATGTGTGCTTCCAGCAGCACTTGTGTCTTGGCAGATATATTGATATTTCTGTGTCCCTGCAGGCAAGTGAGGGCACAGGTGAGGAATCTGCAGTCTGTTGGCAGGTGCCTTGCCACTCCTGGCCTGAGGCAGAGATGGGTTTGCTCTAACTGACCAAGCTGCTGAGAGGAATGAGTCTGTTTTATCCAACTAAATAGGAGGGGGTAGAGAAGGCAGACCCAGATTCTTCTCAGGCACGCACAGTAAAAAGACACAAATGGCAGGATGACAAGGCTTGTCACCATGAAGGTGGCATTTCCATCCCTGGAGATACTAAAAACCTGACTATTCATGGCCCTGGGTAATCTCATCTGCCTGCTTTGAGCTGTAGTTGGACCAGGAACCACCTGAGGATAGATCCATTTTTGTTACTCCATGACTTTCTGGCTTGTTGTTCCTCTTGCCCTCAGCTGGAAGGTCCTTTGTCCAAATGCTCTCCAAGGATGTGGACATCTGACCTAGAAGTACCTGAGAGCAGAGCAAAGCCCATAATGATGGGATTCCTGGAAGGCAGTTACCTGCTCAGTGCTTTGTCCTGCTTTGTGTTTATTACCCAAAGAGTGTCTGCTGTTGGAGCAGATTCGATGGTATTTATGTGATTCTGTAAGTGTCCCCTTGCCTGGTAATTATCCTGATTAATCTGGATCATGCTGGAATGCCACATGTGCCTTGTACCAGAGGGTATGCCACCACACATCTTCACTAGTCAGCTCTAACAGATGCTGACAAGAACTGGGGAGAAGAGTCGGAGCTGGAGGTTGTTCTTGCTCTGTTAGCAGAGCCTGGGAAGGACAAGGTTCGTCAGAGTTTCCGGCTGGAAAGAAGGTGGATCTTGGGAGATGATAGCAATGACTCTTCCATGCTCTGAGTGCCAAGGTGCCTGCCCCTGCCCTCTGTGCCCTGAGAACAGGTCTGTCACCATCCCTGGCAGCTGCTTTGCAGAGCCCCGGGGGTCAGGTTCTGGGAGCAGAGGCTGTCCTGGCTCTGGAAGGTGGGACCATGCAGGTTTGGTGCTGGTGGGTGTTTAAGGCAGTACCCATAGTGCCACATTCAAGGAACTGATGTGGAGCATGTGTGGAGACCCTGATTTGTCACAGCCACCAGCAGATAGTAAGTGGTACCTTGGCCTAGCAGGCAAAACCAGCCTGACTCTTGGGGTGGTGGCCTGGTGTGGCCCATGGAATTTAGGAACAGCCTCCCAGTGACAATCCTGCTGGGGCACAGGGCAGTTCATCTGCAGCAGACCCCTGCTTTTCCAGGATGGATGGACACATGGCACCTTGAGAGAGGGAGTTTCTGATCAGTCTGCACCGCTACCAAAGGCAGGGATTTTGTCTGCCTTGTGCTGCTGGAAGAACCAGAGCTGGCTGGGGCCATTTGCCCTGCTCTGCATGTGCCAAACAGCCTGGACTTGCTCCCCATTGGGATGAGTGACCTTGGAGGTGTTCTGGGAAGTGCTTGAGCACTTTCCTTCCATCTTGCATGGCGTATTATGAGCTATATCATTACGAGCAGCTCAGTTAAGTCATTACAGCCTTGGTGAATGCATGAGCTTTTTTCCCTCTCATCCCAATTCATCACTATTGTGCTGACATGAATCATTTTCATTATAAAATGCTTCAGACCCCGTTAATTAACAGAATTGCTTAAATTTCAATGAGATAGTGCCTGCCCAGAAATAAGGTTTTGTATTCACAGTGGAGTGGCAGGAGAGGCCTGTCAGCACAAGCAGCTGGGGCTGGTCCCTGAGCCCTCAGTGCTTGTGCAGGGCTGATCCTGCTGCCCAAGTGGGAGGGTTCCATCCTTGCTGGGAGAAGTGCCTGGAGAAGTGTTCTTCCCACCCTTTCCTGTGTCCCCTTCTGTGTGAGGTGGGGTGGGACTCCTTGTCAAGTGGCTTCCTCTGAGCAGAGCCAGGAGGAACGAGGGGGTCAGAGCAAACCCCGGGCCCCATCACAGGGTAAATGCCCACTCCCTGCTCCGTGGGGCTGAAGGCAGAGGAGTCCAGGTAATTACGGAACTTGAAGTGACAGAGGGACAAAGGAAGCTGAGTGAAATTGTGCCTCTCTATGAGAGCTGAGGAACGGCAAGGATCTTAAATGGTGGTTTTGTCTTTTATAATAAATGCTAACAATGATAATCATTGCAATAATTGCTAGTTTCAGAAAGGACAGGAGCAATAAATGTCTCCTGAACCGTGTTGCCCGCTCCTGCTGCACCTGTAATGTCATGTAAAGAGCAAGGGGGAGGGATTTCATCCTCCCAGCTCAGTGGCATTTCTGACTGCCTTTGGGCCACTGCAGCACTGACTCTGTGATGTGAGCCCTTGTCAAGAGGTGCACAAGGTCACGGCCGTACACCTGAACAGGGAAACTGGCACCCTGCTGGCTGGGGAGGGCTGATACCTGGAAGCCTCAGGGTCTGTCCCTGAAGCTACATCTTGGCTCCTTGCAGCCCACTTGCACCCATTTCTCCCCTCTGCTGTGCTCAGGTTGTGCTGAGGGCTTCCCAGGAGCCAGGTGACTTGGGGCTGCAGTGCTCTGCCACTGCTTGCTTTGCTGCACGTCAGCAAATGGCTTGGAAGGTGCTCAGAGCAACTGACGGTTCTCTGCTGTTTGCTCCACAAGGGAGGAGCTCCTTGTTCCCTTTGGGTCTGACCCCTCACTGGAGACCCGTTCCAGCAGCCCCTTCCACCATCCTCCTTAGCACCGGGCAGGATTACTGGTGGAACAAAGCAGGGATGGATTTTGCAGTTCACAGCAGGAGGAGGTAAAGCTGGTAGTTAAACGGAAAAGGCTGGAAGAGAGAGGAATCACAATAACATAAACCAATATCTAAATCTGTGGGAACACTAAAAACCTGAGCTGGAGGGGATTTTAAGCTGATTCCTTGCTGTTCTGGGATGTTGCTGGTACAGTGGGACTGGAATGTGGTGCTAATGACCTTGTATCCCTGTAGGCACTCCTGTGTGCCCCTGGTGCCACCTCAGGGCAGAGTCGTTTCTTTCTTTCATTCTCAAAATGTTTCTTCTCTACTTTGTTTCCATGTAAATGAAACCCTCCTGGGTGACTTAGGAAGTGGTAACTTTTGTCATTCACATGGTTTTCAGGGTTTTATTGCTCTTTGTTTCTTGTTTTATGTTCCTTTATATTTTAGTCCTGGTCAGTTCCCCCAAGTCCAGATGAATACTGGGGACCTATAAACACTATTTTTTAAGAGACTTCATAAGAAGTACTGCCACACCATACATTTTTTTTTTTAAGCTCCAGTGCATTCTCTGACACAGAGCATGTGTATTGTCACCTTTGGTCTCCTTAGAGGAACACTTGAAAGCCAGGAGTTTTTGCAGATAGACTTTTGGAAGTGCACTGTCCCCATCGTTCTCCAAACACACAGAGCCCCCCGAGGTGTGCTCGGCCGTGGCCCCGTGAGATAGAGGACACCCATTATTTGCTAGGGGTGCTGCAGCAAGCCTGGCTCTTGCTTGGCACATCAGGATACGTGGGCTGCTGCAGAGCTGTGCCAGAGGGGTTTGGTGACTCAGCCTGGGCTTTTACAGAGCCCTTGTGTGCAGACCTTGAGGCTGGCCCCAGCACAGCCCCCGCACTTGGGTAAGGGCGAGGATGAGTCCTCTTGTTCCTGTGACTCCAGCTCCCACCAAACCTCTGGCCCCCACAGATCTTCCATCCAGCTCCCGGGCTCCCTGGAGAGAAGCACAAGCCTCCTCTGTGCCAGGGTTTAACGCTGTGGGAGCTGCCAGCAGCCCACGGGAGAAGCAGCAGTTGAAACTCTTTTATGCTTCATGTGGAGACTTGCTGGGAGCAGGTTGGGCCTGTGGCTATTCTGGGGCTTCAGGGGGATTTGGGGGATGTTTCTGCCTGGCTGACAACCCCTGGGCTTGTTCTTCTCTCCAAAGCCCTTTTTTTCCCTTAGTTGGCTTCTGCTTATGTGACCTCTGTGAAGGGGCCCAGCAGACACTGTGACCAGCAGCACCAGGGCTGTGTTGGGGAGAGTGTCCCCAGCAGTCAAGGAAGGTGACTGTCCCTTCTACTTGACACTGATGAGACACAGGTGCTGTGTCTGGCTCTGGACTGCCAAATATGATTCTCTGGGCATACCAGAGTGAGTCCAGGGAAGGGCCATGAAGGTTGGTGAAGTACTGGAGCATCTGCCCTGTGCGAAGGGGCTGGGAGATCCAGCTGATCCTGCTCAGAGCTGGAGCTTGCCCAAGGTAATCTCCGGCGGCCCCTTCCAGCCTCACCCCCTCTGTGACTCTTCAGATCTCTGTGACCTGCCTGTGCTCACGCTGTGTCCTGCTGGTTCCCAGGTGTGATCCGGACGGCCGTGGCTGACCTGGACCGTGAGACGCAGGACCGCTACGAGGTGGTGATCCGAGCAACAGACATGGCAGGACAGCTGGGCGGCCTGTCAGGATCCACCACAGTCACCATCGTGGTCACTGATGTCAATGACAACCCACCACGCTTCCCCCAGAGTGAGTCCCAGCAGTGGTGGGGGTGAACTCCTGTCCTGGTTCCCAGTGGGTGGTGGGATGGGAGCTGCAGGCTGAGCCACGCCAAGCTGGCAGGGCAGCAGCACTGAGGCAAGCACAGCTCCTGGCCTGGGTCTGAATGTGTCCCTGCCTGGCAGCACGATGGAGGGGCAGCTGCCTTGACTGAGCTCATCCAGGGCCCCAGGCAAGACTCTTGTTCTGGGAGCAACCAGGGCTGTGTGGTGGGAGGGCACCAGCAGAGCTGGCCTTTTCCCAAGGCCTCTCCGAGCAACAGGGAGAAGGCAGCCAGGTCTGCTGTGCTGCTCTCTCCTGGGAGCTGGAGCAGGGACTCGTCTGTCGGCTGCTGGCCTGGCCCCTCCTGGCTCCTGTGTCAGAGCTTGGCACACTCTGCCCCAGTGCAAGGCACGGTGACACTGCTCATGGACAGCAGCCTGGTGACACACAGTTCTGTTTTCTTAATTGCTGCTGGTGGCCTATGGCTCGAACTTGTGTGTGATCTGGGACCCTCCTGAAACAAGGTAGGGGGTGTGGTCCTGCTGTGAGGAGTGGGCTGTGCAGTGCAAACCAACTGTGCAGCCTGGCAGCTCCTGCCTGGCAGGCCAGGGAAGGGGCTGCAGCTGGAGGAGGCTCAGCTCTTTGGCTGTGTCTCCTAGAAATCAGAAGTGGTAAAGGAATCCTTGCAAGGAATCAGAGAGCACTGATTGCAAGGCAGTCTCTGTATGAAGAAATCAGCCTTTACTTCACCCAGCACCTGGCACATCAGTACTCCCCAATTATCTTCCCTCAGCCCTTGTTTTTGGCTGGGGTATGTGTTTTTTCTCCTGCTGGGGCATTCAGGGACTATAGACACGGTGGAGTTTGTGCAGCCCTCAGAGCCTAGGGGTGCCCAGGGAGGTTTGCAAAGGGTCCTATCAGACTTGGGGGGGTTCACAGGCAGAAACAGTGACCCTGGTACCTTTTTCTCCTCCAGAGATGTATCAGTTCAGCATTGTTGAAACGGCCCCCGTGGGCACTGCCATCGGCAGGGTGAAGGCTGAGGACTTCGATGTCGGGGAGAACACAGACATGACATATCAAGTGAAGGATGAGGAAGGGGTGGAGATGTTCAAAGTCACCACGGACAGCAATACCCAAGAGGCTGTCATCACGGTACAGAAGGTGAGAGATGAGGAGGGCTGGTTGGATAGGGATGGCACAGGTCTCCGGGAGGGCCCTTTCCATTGGCGACTGCTGCAGTTGCATTTGAGCTGAAACGAATGCTCCTCTGAGTGCTGTTCTGGCAGTAGCAATTGCATTTTTGTGCCTGCTGATGCAGGGAGAGAGACCTGTCTCTGCTCTGCCTGGATGGCAAAATGCAGGGCAGTGTCTGGCAAGAGACACTGAAAAGAAGCAGCACACAGTGCCTGCTGGAGTCCCCCAGGGTGGCTTGGGGGTGGCAGTGAAGCAGAGAGCTGTGTGGAGGGGACACTGTGGGTAGAGCTACAGAGACAAGTGCTTACAGCTGTTATTGATAGCATCTGTTAGGGGAGAAAAATGCTCACCTAATTCCTATACCTGACCAACAGCACTTTGACTGTATCTGCTTTTGGTGGCAAAAACAATCAAGCAAATACTTGGTGCAGGCAGAAAAGAATGATTGTTCTCCAAGGCCACAGTATGCAGCTCACCTACCCTGTAGAAATAAGAGAGTGATTAATGATCAGAACTCGCTCATGTGCAGTGCATGCTCTGCTGTCTTCCCAGTGAATCCCGGCTGCCCACAGCCTGGGCACCCTGTTGGGGGCTCTGGGGGAGTGGGCTGGGGGCTTCCCCTCCCTTCTGCCCCCTCAGTGTGGGTGGTGCTGGCAGGAGGGCGAAGCAGAAGCCCCCAGGCTCCTGCAGAGACACTGCCTGGGAGCGGGTGGCTTTAGGGGCTCTAGTGCTGCCCTGATGTCTCTGGTGAAGGAAGGGGCAGCAGAGGGGCTCCTTGAGCTGGCTGTGGCTTACCCTCTTCCCTTGTGCCAGCCTCTTGACTACGAGTCAAAAAAAGTGCACACTGTTGTGGTGGAGGCCCTCAACAAGTTCGTGGACCCGCGGTTCGTGGACCTGGGCACCTTTCGGGACCAGACCATCGTGAGGGTCTCAGTGTTGGACGTCGATGAGCCCCCCGAGTTCCGGCCCCCCTCCAACCTGATGGAGGTGCAGGAGGACGCACGAGTTGGCTCTGTCGTGGGGGTGGTCACTGCCCTCGACCCGGACACAGCGAACCACCCTGTCCGGTAACGCATCATCCGAACCTCGCGTCATCCCCCTCCCTGCCCTGGGCGTGGGGTCACCTGCGAGGGACACGCGTGGCCGGGGGGGGGCCTGTGGCCGTGGCTGGGATGGAGGAGGTGGGACAGTGCAGGTAAAGGTGGCAAGTGCTGCACGTGTGGCCAAGTGTGTGAGAGTGTCCTGTGGGACAGGCAGGTGGCAGGTGAGTGGCAGCCTGTGCACAAGCCAGCGCAGCCGTCTCCCAGGTGACAGGTACATCACTGACGGGTGATGGGTTTGTGAGTGCAAGGGAGTGTCAGGGAAGGTGGCTTGGGTGATGCTTGCATGTCCTTGCTGCTGACAGCAAGGTGTCTGCAGTGGTGCCTGACACAGGCCAGGCTATAGGAGTGGCAGGAGGACAGTGGTGAAGGATGATAAATGAGGTGAGGCTTGCGAGGTGCAGAGCCACAGCCTGGCTGTGTGTGCGTGCATGTGTGCATAGGATCAAAGATCAGAGGAGTTTATATTTGGGCAGGGGACATAATCCAGGCAGCAGCTTATCTGCACAGGACATTTCCCATTTCCATTTAATTTGTGGCTAAAGAGATTGTTACCTTGTTAAATTGTTATTACCTAAGGCACAAAGCAGCCTTCTGGCTCTGCCAACTGGCCTGAGTCACGAGCATTTGGGTTGGAAATCTGGTGTTCAGAAAACATCCTCAACGTGTGGAAAATTTCCTTGAAATGTGTGTTCTGGTGCCAGGTGCCGGTGGGGCTGCAGGCGCCCGTGGAGCCTCTCACTTCCAGGGAGCAGCAGTGGCTTTGCACTGAGAGCTCTGCAGGGACAGACTGGGAGGGACAGGGATGTGAGGTGGAGGGGGACAGGCCGGGGAGGGCTCAGTTACAGCGCTAGTTGCTTGATGATGCTCCTGGGTGCCTGCTCAGGGCAACTGTGGGCAAATGCACCGTTTCACAGTGGGGTGAGGGAGGATCTCCTGATCTTCATGGAAACGAAGACTGAGAGGGTTAGAAAGCTCAGAAAAGAATTTGCACGTGGAAAGCTGCCATCCACATATGCCTGGCAGCTAGCAGAGAGTACTGTGTCACAAAACTGGATGCTGAAAGTTGACTTTGGGGTGAATGAGGATGAAATCAGCCATGGCGTGCCAGGAACTGTGTATGCGAGTGCTGCACCACTTGCACTACTGGGTGCTGACTATTGGATGTGTTCTCGACATACCTCTGCTCACCTTGTGTGACTCTCCAGTCAGGCCACGTGTCTGACTTCTTTCTGGCCTCTGAGCATGTGGCTGTCAGCTCACACCCTTCAGGAACGTGGTCTGTCCCCACATCTGTGTGTGTGCACGTGTGTGCATATGCTTTTTCACTTGACTGTTTCTAGCACTGCTACAGAACATAGATTTCATTTTCTGACCTGTAATTGTAGGAAAGGGGCCTTGGGGATAGAACTACTCTTATTCTTGTTTTTTCTTGTTCTCCATTCTGTTTCCCTGTGGAGCTTGCCGCATTGTTTGCAGACAGACCAAAAGAAAGCAGGGGAGGGAGGCTCTCTACTGCTGTGCAGAAGGCTATGGGGACTTGAATCAGAGAGAAGCAGATTCAAGTACTGCGCAGGAGCAAGATGGTTAGAGCCCAAACTTTGCTATGGGAGTCTCTCCTACAGTGAGCTCAGTGCCAGACTAGGCAATGCCTCGTGCTCAGGCACAAAAACCCAGCCAACAGGACTCCCAGGCATCTGCTGCAGCTTGGGAATTGCCATGTGTTTTCCCTCGTCAGGCTTGATGCATTCAAATACATGTCCTCCCTCCAGCTATCCCCAGGCAGGTAGCTCATCCTGTGTCCCCCATGCTCCCCTGGGACACTTGGTCTCTATCTGTCCATCCCTTCACTCCCTGCTGTCAGGAGCAGTGGCAGTGCAGCTGGGTGAGCCTTCCCAGCCATCTTAACACAGGCCAAGTGGAGAAGCAGGTTGATATTGGTCGTGCTGATGCAGCACCAATGCAGGAGGAAGGTGCAGTTGAATGTCTCCTGCTTTCCTGTCCTCTGGCTATCCAGGCAATTTAATAAAATACTTTGCTGCGTAGGCAGCTGCTCACAGCTTCAAAGTGGTGCACAAACATTAATGCCAGCACCCTGCAGCACCAGGATGTGACACTAACCCGTCAGCAGGAGATGGCAGGAAGTCACCTCGCGTTTCAAGTGTGCTGCTCCGGAGTACAGTCACCAAAAGCCAGCACTTGTACTTCACCTCTGATACATTAGAGAGCAACTGGTCCTGACAGCATGACCAGCATTTGATCCTCGGCTCCTTGAAGTTGGAATGAACCCTTTGAAGTTGCTGCAGTTCAGCGGATCCCTTTAACTTCCTGCTCCTCGTCTGCCGGAGGTGGGAGCAGAGGCACGACTGTGCTCCTGCAGTGGCTGCTCTCCTGGACTCTGGTCTGTGTGTTGGCTCTGCCTGTAAATAGCGGAGAGCCACAACCTCCTGTCATATCGAGATGCACTCTCCCCTTGAGGCAGGAAAGAACAAGGATTGCCAGAGACAGCAGAGCAGAAATCAGCTCTGTCAGGGTTTCCAGGTCCTGCTGACACCAGGCTGCCAGTAACGAGGTTTGGGAGGTATTTTTAGCCAAATGGGAAGGGAGGTGCCCTTGGCTCTTTGTTTCCAGCCTCAGGCCTGCAGGAACAAGGCTGTGTGATGCCTACTGTGCTGCCCAAAGCAGCTGCCAGAGGCACATTCCAGCCTGGTGGCTCCCCTGCCCTCCTGATGATCCACAGGTCCCACAGAATGTGGTCACTTGGTTTGAGAACAAATCCCATCCCACAAGCCAGGCTGGGTGGCAATGACCTGTTACAAAGATGTGAGGGCTGAAGGGGTGTCCAGCTCCCCTGTTCTTGGGGGACATCCCTGGGGCTCTGCCTGCTGCCCCACTCCAGCTGCACATGGCTGCAGAGCCCCTGGTACCTCCTTGCCTTGGGCAGGAGGAAAGCTGGGGCACCCAAGGAGCTCTCCCCATATCTCAGAGAAGGCCACCCTCCCAGTGACACCAAAGGGAGCCATGCTGAGCTCAGCACAGCCAAGGGGTTGTATGAACCTTTGCGAGGCACAAAACTCGCTGTGGTATCAGTGTGGGAAATGCCCTTCTAGAGGTCCAGTTCCTTTTATTTTATTCTATCCTTGTTTTTTTTTTTGCCTATCAAAAGCTGGAACTGTTCCTTTTCAGAACAAATTTAGTTTCCAGTTGGCTTTTTGGCTTTAGCTGTGTATTTTCCGGGCGTAGTGCAGTTTTTCTCAGCTGAGCCATTGTATGAAGTAATACAGTGATAGACTGTCTGTGTATGTGAGGCTGTTTGTATGGGAGCCTTTTGTTTCTCTCTCTGCAGCGGGAGCCTGTGCTCTGATTGTGTATGTTCCAGGCTTTATCAGCACCGGGAAGATGTTGCTTGGGATTTAAGGTTCTCAGAGATATTCTTGTTTGGCGTTCGCCAAATCCGGAGACACGTGTTGGACATGGGCATTTTATAGACTGCAAGAGCACAGCAAGAACTACAACCTGCTTCAACACAAAAGGCAGAGGAGGAAAAAACAAACACAACAAAAAGCTTTTCACACAGTGTTTGAAAAGCTCCCTATTAACAAAACACATGGCTTAAAATGTGCTCCTTGGTGCGTTCGGGGGAGAAGTGAAACAAACTGCTTGAGAAATGCATTCATGAGAAAGATGAGCACCAAGAAAGCTGTCGAAATTAAACAGTCACTTGTAACATCCAAACCAACAGGCAGTGCCAGCAGGAAGAGAGGGAAATGGAGTACAAGGTCTGCATCCCAATCAGAGCTGAGGACTGCGGTTCCAGATATGGAGCACCAGCTGCAGGAAGGATGGGCACAGGTCCTGTCTCTGAGTACCTGAAGGATAAGGGATTAAATGCTGCCTCTTCCCAGGTGGGACCGGTGAATATGAAGCTGGAGGAGCAGAGGTGGAGAGGCTGGTTGGTGAAGGTCGTATTGCACAAAATGATGGGAATGAGTGCAGCGGGATGAGCCATAAGCTGTTAGAAGGTGAGGTCTGTTGTGTGATCTGCAGCTCTGAGAGGGTTATGGCTATGGCTTTGGGGGGAGGATGGACATCCCTGTGGCCCCACCAGTCCCCAGCTCCCACACCAGCCTAGTGCTCCAGAACCTCCCTGGCACTGGGACCCGCAGAGAGCTGCAGACCCACCTCCACAGACACAGAGCGTGGCAGCAGGCTCAGCCCTGCTGCTGTGGCCAAGGCAGCACATTGAGCTCCATCTCCTTCCCCGGTTCATTGCTGAGGAGGTGGCCATTCTTTGCAGCAGTGGTGACAAAGGGATCAGATTTCTGGTTTGTTTTTCCCTGGCCATGGGGTACAGGCAGTCTGGCCTCAGCAGACAATTCAGAAGCGACAGAAGACAACCTCAACAGCAAAGCAATGAGAAGCATAAGAACAGGTTCTTGGTGGCATGACATGGAGTGCTCCCTGCCATCCTCCTGCCCTCCAGCCAGGCGGGCAGACCTGTCAGACGTGTCTGGGCTCGGGGTGTCTCCCATCACTAACTGGGTTTTAAAGTGTCTCCCATTGCTAACTGGGTTTTTCTGTGTAGATATTTTTTACAGACATCTCTGTTTATGCAGCAATGACACAAGAGTGATCAAAACAGGCATGTGCTTACTCAAGAAGCAGGGAAGACGTGGGGAGGGTGAAGTACCATCTTGAACTTAAGAGTATGAAAAAGTGGAATGGAAGGCAGGACATGTTTGAGGTCGGGTGATGTGGGAGAACAATGAAAGCGGTTATGTAAATACATCAGTTATGCTATTGGAAAGGTATTGGGTGTTGTGATCCCAATTTCTGTTCCTCTTTCCAGCAGAACATTGAACTGATGTACAATTCAGAGCAGCCAGACCTCTTCTTTCCCTTTGCAGTGAGCAAGCAGAGTGGATGAGAGGCTGTGGTACGTGCCAAGACAGTGTCACTGTCCCTTCTGGAACTGGCTGTGTGCCTGTAGAGGCTCTGCTTCCAGCTGAGAGTTGGGGCAGAAGACACAGGCAGTCCCTGGCAGGTAGTTTGGAGATGCCTGAGCTTGTACCTGGCTTTGTGTGACAGATGTCCATCTCCTCTGAATGCTAGGGGGGAGGAGGCCACGTGGGTGCAGAATGTGCTAGAATGTGGCTGTGTGCAAATGCAATTTAGATAGTGACTTCTGAATGTCTTTCTTTAGCTACAAGCAAGTGCTGTTGTATTTTCTCTCTCATTCCCCCATCTGTCTGAAAGGGAGAAGGCTAGGGAATGTAACATGGAACTGTATAACACATTAAACAGCATAGGAATGCCTTTGTGTGTGCCTCCATCAGAGATGGAGCTGTGTGGATGGACAGGGGCTCTGTAGGAAGCTCTCCCACTGCAGCTGGTCCCCTCCCAGGGCTTGGGGCAGAAGAGCAGAGGGCCATCAATGTTCATCCTTGCCTGCAGAAGGTGAGCTGGTGTTCCTCGGCTGTGAGCCATGTAGATGATGGACCCACAGACCACAGCTGGACTCTGGCTGCCACACACAAGCCCTTGGGAAAGCTGCCCTGCAGCATGCAGACCACTTCCCCCATCCTCAACCTGCTGCTGGCCTGGAGCCTGTCCTGCTCAGCTCCTGTCCAATGGGGCTTCTCAGTACTGTCCTACCTCATCAGCTTTCCAGTTTGCTTTGTCCCTACATTTATCTTCCTTCTGTGGTTGAACATGTGACTGAAGGCTTTAATTTATTCACAGCCCTCCTTTTGGTAATTTATCCTTTGTACTCTTTGCTGTCTTGTATTATTTAATTCTGTGAAGCACTCTGGGATTCAGTGTGTGTGAAAGATGCTGTACACAATAACATTATGCTGTATTGTTTGTGATTTGCAGGCCTTCTGGATTTCTAATTCTGATTGCAGTGGTGGTGTGTGTTATTTGTGCTATGGCTGTGCTCAAGGGCCTCAGCTGGATCGGACTTCCCTTCCAGCCCCTTCCCCCAGGAACTCACATCTCACTGTGCCCTGATTTAATGTTGGTTTGCTTAATTCTGTGTGTAATGGTTGCAAATGCAGGACATGCCACTGGGACAGGTGTGGGCTTGTGGTGTCGTGGTGAAGGCATGGGACTAAACCTGGTGTGTGACTCCTTGTGAGCTGTGGGGTTGCCCTCGAGGAGAGTGGGAATCATGTTCTCCGGAGGTGGCACAGGGAGCATGTGGGCTCCACCCCTCAGGGACGGGGCTGTTTGAGGCAGCACTGGAGCAGCTGAAGGAGAAGAGTTAGAGCTGCCTGTGAGAAGTCTCTGCTGAGCAGCTGGGGACAGAGCTGGAGGAGCTCTTCAGCCTGTTCCTTGTGGGAGTGGGAAGCTCAGAATAGGGCAAATCTCGGGGCTGCTGGCATGATGTGCTGTGTTGATAGGGGGGTGCTGGCTGCTGCCCACCTCTCTGCTGCCAGGATTGCTGCACCAGTTGCTCAGGTTCAGTGTGGGTGCAGAGGAGACCTCATCCTTTGTGCCTGCTGTAACTGCATTTCAGGGTGTCCACGGGTCTGGCTCATGTGTGCTGTTGTGCTGCACTCCAGGTCTCTCACTTGGGTGGATGTGGTGGCAGGATCAGCAGAGAGGGTAGCAGGTGAGGTGCACATGCTCAGCTTCAGTTTGGGTTTGTGCTTTTCCTGAACCTACAGCTCTGAAGCTTCCCAGAGTCACGAGTGAAGTTATAGCCCACAATTTCTGTATCACTCTGTCTATCCAGAGCATAAGGTTCCCATCAGAGCAGGTTTTTCCCCTTGTCCACAGTCTGTGCATAGTTCCACTTCATGCACTGAAAGCCACATTTTCATTTGACTTGAGAGCTCTGGGCTTCCAACCTGGCAGAAACGTGCCCTTCCTGTCCCATCCTGCAGCACAGGATGATTAGAGCGGTGAAACAGTATATTCCAGTACTTCTGGGGCTGATGGCAAGGGTGGGCTTGGCACATCCAGCTGCTCACCATTTCCCCTTTTGCCTGGTCACAGGTACGCCATCGACCGCAGCACGGACTCCGAGAGGATCTTTGACATCGATGCCAAAACAGGTGCCATTGTGACAGGAAAGGTCCTGGACCGGGAGACAGCAGGGTGGCACAACATCACTGTCCTGGCGATGGAAGCAGGTGAGATGGAGGAGTGCTGTGTGGAGAGGGAGAAGCACTGGGTGCTGTCAGTGCAGGGGTGGCCAAGACGCGAGTGTTAATCAACACTGAAGTAAAAAACATAAATGCAGCAGCACTGAGTCTGACATCTCCCTAGACAACCTAAAAATACTCTTCCAGACTCGAGCATTAATAAGGGAGCATGGTCGAATAGTATATTTGATGAACACTAATCAAATTTGTGTTATCTATGCGCCATCTCTGCCAGTCATCCCTGTGCAGCTCGTTCCCCGCAGTCACACCTGCTGAGTGGCACTGGGGGCTCCCCGGGGGGGATGTTCACATCACCTGCATCCCCCAAAATCAGTCATGTGCTGCCTGTGGATGTCCCATCAGCTGGAGCCCTGTGGCACTGAGTGGCTGTCAGCACTTGCTTCTGCTGGAGCTCATGCTGTGTGGGATGGTCCCAGCACTGCAGCAGTGGGAGGGGAACTGTGGGGGCAGAGTGTCCCAGGCATCATGCTGGGAAACAGAAAGGCATTGCCATGTTCTTCCAAATTTTCCATATTTTGGATATGCAAGTCACCAGGGCATGCTGGGCCCTGCTGTGCTCTGCCTTCCACCCCACAGTGGGTACCAGGGAGCCTCTGTGGCTGCAGAGCACCTCCTGATGCCTGCTGATGTGTGCCAAGGCCAGTCTGTCTGTGGGTAGGAACCTAGGCTTCACTCTAGGAGATCCTCAGGAGTTCTGATTCTTGGTTCTTTGCTTGTTCTTGAGCATTGAAGGTGCTGTTCACGTTCAAGGAGCTGAATCAGGGCCTGACTTGGGTCCCAGCGGTCAGATCTTGCCACCCACCCCAGCCAGGCAATGGCACAAGCCCCATGGCCCAGGGAGAGGAGGGTCAGTGGCCCTGGTCAGACCCCTGCTGCCCGGGGGGATGTCCCTGCCTCTGCCTCGTGTCACAGCCCCTCTGTGCTGACACTCTGTGCCAGCTGACCGGGGTCACCCTGCCCTCTCTGGCTGTGGCACTGGCACTGTCGGGAGCCCTGGCTGGCCTGGAGATGGGCGGGTGTGTTGGCACTGCCTGGCCATGTCAGAGGGAGGGCAGCCCACTGCTGAGCCATGGCCTGTCCTGGGGGCTCCATGGGGAGGCTCTGCTGGGAAGAGGGGAGGGTGGCATTGCAGCACAACTCAGCATCCAGAGGAAACGTGAGGTGACAAGAATCAGAAGGACAATATTTACACGCAGTGGCTAGGATTTCAGAACAAGTCAGTAAATGCTGTGGCTCCCCTCTGGCAGAGAAGCCTGTCAGGCTGGATTGCTTCAAAAACCAGGGAGACTCTTCAGTGCTCTGACTTCTCCCGTGGTGAGCTCTGACTCATCCGTTTTAACTGCCCAGACATCCCTCCCAGTGACATTATCCTTAACGTTTTGTAATCATGAAATATTAATGACTGATATTGAATTTAAAGTACAATTTATGTCTGAATCCTCTGGCGGAAAGGGCAGTTGTAAAGGTACAGCCTTCTGAGTGATGGAGGGGTTTCGGAGGGGGCTGTGCAGCAGCTGTCAGGCTGTGCCTGGTGAAGTGGGGTCAGCTGCAGCAGTGGGAACGTGGAGTGCAGGGTGGCTGGGAGCCACCACACTGGCAGCAGCACAACCAGCAGTGCAGTTCCTGGCACACAGGTGTCGGGGGCCAGGGGTGCTCACCATGGGCATGCAGGGGCTGCTGCACCAGGCTGGACCTTACCAGGTACAGCAGAGGCAAGTGATAAAATATTCCCCTTCCTCAGTGAGATGTAAACTTGGCAGGAGGAATGGAACGAGCCAACTGGGCATCCTGCTGCCCAGACTCGGGGATGGGGGGAACCCATGCCCACCTGATTCCCTCAGTGCCAGGCACAAGATGTTGCATCCCCGTGGCCGCCTCGAGCTGCCCTCCCAGTCTCCTGGCAGGTCTGTCCTGAACAGGGTTTGACTGCTGGTGGCTGAAGGACAGACAGCCCTCTGGCAGCCCTTGTTCCCACAGGGAGCCCGTGAGGGTCGAGCAGCTCCATGCAGGAGCTGTGCCCCGACCCTGGACAGTCCTGTCCTGCAGCAGAGACTGTGTCCAGGGGCATGTGTCCCACCTGCAGATATCACAGAGTGCATTTGCCTCTGAGAGCAGTAAGAAAAGCTGCAGAAGGTGCCTGGCTGTGCCCATGAGCTGGCTGGGCTGCTGCTGCTGCAGGAGGAGTGGAGGCAGCTCTGCCCCCCCAACCAGGCACCCCCAGCATGAGCTGCCTTGGCCAGCCAGGGACCACTGGAGTGTTTGGCCTCACAGTGTGGCAGCTGGCAGGAAACATGGGGGCTGTTCAGCTAATCTGGCCTGGGACCAGGCCAAGCACTTCCACAGATAAATCTTCATCTTGCTCGCAAGCTGTTTACCTTCCTTGGGCTAATATTAGTGATTCTCTTCCTGTTTTCCTCTTTGCTCATGTAAAATGATGAGGCCTTGACTGCTGTGTCCACTGCTGGTAATTGAGATGATAAATCTTCCTGCTGGAGACTGGCTTTAATCAGAGCATTGTGTTTGGATGCGATTTAATGACTCTCATGCTGCTGAGTTTGGGCAAGACTCAGGAGAGGTGAGAGCCATTTATGTGTTACTTGGCTTAACTGCTGCTTCCACTTTGTATCCCCTCAGCAGGGAGCCACATTCTCAGCTCCAGCCTCTGATGTAGCCTCCTGTCAGAGGAGCCATACCCCTGGCATGCCCCTGCTCTGTCCTTGCCACCAGTGCTCTGCTTTGCAGGTAGGACCTGCACCGAGAGCTACAAACCCACCCTGTGCTCCACAGCCGTGGCGTCGGGGCTGGAGAGCAGAGTGGCCCATCCCAGTCTTCTGCTCTGCGTTTTGTTTTCCCAATTCGCTGAGGTAGCGAGGAATAAATTCCACTCCTGCCTCTCCTGACTTCCTTACTATTATAAAAATTTTGAATTCAGTGTTGTACCAGCTTGGTGTTGACACAGAAGAGCAGGTCGTGCGCTGTGCCCAGCAGTGTCTGTGAGCTGGGCTGCCCCAGGTGCTGCTGTGCCCTGGGCTCTCCTCAGACCCAGAGAAGCTGCCGAGCACCCCTTGGTGTGTGAGACTCTGCATGGCTCTGTGCAGGCAGGAGGGCAAATGGCACGTGTGCCTCGGCAATGGCTGGATTTGGAGCTCCACAGGAAAGGTTTGGGGGTAAAAATGCAAAGCGCTTTATTGTGAGTTTGTGTCCAGGTTTGGAGGGGTAATAGCTGCTGCAACCCAGCACAGTAACCGCTGGTTCCTCCTTTCCTGCCATGACAGGGGTGGCTGAGTATCCCCGGTCCCCTCCCATCCCTGTGAACTGCTGCTGCAGAGCTCCAGCCTTGGTGTGCAGTTGCCCAGAACTGCCCAGTGTTGGTCCTGTTGGCACTCAGTCATCCACAGCTCGGGGGAGGGCAAGTTGGCATTTTGTGTCTGAACATTCAAGATGAGAATATCGTCCTGTTTAGATTACTTCCATGATTATTTACATTGAGAAAAATACTTTGGGATGTGGCTGAAGCATTTGAGTGTTGAGCCAGAGTGTTGCTGTGCAGCAGGGCTGTGACCATCTCCTGCTCCAGCATCCTGACACTGCCTGTCCTGTCCCAGCACTGCCTGTCCTGTCCAAGTGCTGCCTGTTTTGCCATGTGGCACCTGGGCATGGGGGGTCCAGCTGGCACTCAGTGCATGCCCTGAACCATGCTGGTAATTGTGTTGAAGCAAGTGCAGATGCAGCAGCATGGAAGCGCTGGGCAGGATTCCGTCCCCCACCCGCAGCAGCTCCAGTGGCTCTGAAATAATTCTTCCCATGTTGGCAAAGGCAGCTGCCAGTCACCAGCCTGGATCTCCCGTGCTGCACGGCTGTGCTTCCAGCATCTCCCTCTTGTTCTGTGTATTTTCCGTGTCTCTTTCCTCAGTCTTTTCAGATTAATAGCATTCCAACTCCTGAAGGAAATGCAGAAAAACGGCATGTTTAATTTTAATTTAGGAAAGCGTTTAGGTAGCAGCCTAGTTTCCTCGCTGCTGTCAATCAGGTTTTCTCAAGGCTGACATCAATTAGTTTAAAAATATTGAATGTAATTTTGCCTGACACAACATATTGCAGCCACTGCAAAATATAATTTATTTTAGAAGAAGAAATAATTAAACTAATTTGCATGTCAGTCAGCTGAGCTGGAATACCGAGGAGAGATGCTGCAATGGGAGGTGTCTTTTTTGCTTTCCAGTTGCCCTCAGCCTGCACGTGCCACCCTCGCCCCGGCCCTGGGCCAGGTGCTGCTTGGCAGAGCCCTGCGAGGGCAGGTTCCTGTGCCACCCACCCAAATAGCTTCATCCACCCCCTCTGCTGCTCTTCCTGTCACTAGAACCTGCTTGCTGAGCCTTTGCTTGTGTTCTGGAGCGTGTGTTGGGTGCGTGCACACAGGTAGAGAAAGCACAGGTCAGAGTTTCTGCCCTTGCAGGCTTGAAGCCTGCATTAGTCAAGTGCTTTGTGCCTTTCATCACAGATGTACTCCAACAATCCTAATCGCACTTCTTGCTGTCATAAATTCAGTTTGTGCCACGCAGTTACAGAAAACATATTTCAGATGTTTTGAAGATAACTTTTATCAAGTACATCCAACCATTTTTCATATCTCCCACCCATGACTCCAGGTAGTGGCTCAGAGGAAGAGGGAGATTGATAAAGCATTTGGGGAACCTTCAAATATACACTGTACAGCCAAAAAAAAAAAGAAGCTGATGTGGGCCTCGCTGGAAAGGTAGACAAGGGTGCAGTAGTTGCGTTTCTAACCTTGATGTTTCTGGACACGTCAAATTTTAACCCTGTCACTGACCCAGGAGTGAGCATGAGCCTCAGGCTTCAGCAGTTTTGGAAGGGCCAAAAGGAGAGCTTTGGTATGACAGGGTGCATTAAGAAAGGTCACTGTGCTGTGCCCAGGGGACGTCAGGCGGGGCTCAGTGCGGGTGCTCAGCTCTGTGCAGATCCTGTGGGTGACTCCGCTCGCGTGCGCGGCGCAAAGCGCTCCCGGCAGCTGCAGCTGGAGCTGTGGAAGAGCACGGACCTGTGGTTCTGCTTGGCTCTAAACATGCTGATCACATCCCTCCTGAGGGGCTCTAGGAGGTGGTCTCGAAGTGAAGCTGCCATGCTCAGGTTCACCTGGGTGCCCAGAGCTGGCCCTGCAGAGCCTCCATGGCACCCAACAGGTTCTGAGGAGTGTTCGGCAGCACTGGGATTGGCTCCTGCTCCCAGCCAGCTCAGATGTTGTGGGGCACTGAGGGAGGAACCCCACTCCTCTGGGTTACAGTTAGGAAGGGGAAGAGGTGGGGTTTTGGGCTCTTCCTCCCTTCAGGCTCTTCTTCCTCCCTTCTCTTTCTGCCTTTCCTCCTGTGTCGGCAGTGCCAGCTTGCTCCAGAGCTGAGCAGCAGGGATGGTTATCCATCTTCCTGTGGGCTGAGGAGGGGGTGATGAGATGCTGTCGTTCTCCTTCTTGCAGGAATTGGACCCTTTTTCCTCCTGCTCATTTGTGGGCATCAGGCGTGCACCCCTCCGCCTCCCCAGGCTCCCTTCTCGCCCTGCTGCCTCCCCCTTTCTCTCTCTCTGAAAGCAACTGCAGTTTATTTCACTGCACCAACATGCCTTTTAAAATAACACATAGTTCCAGGCTTTTAGTCACGACTTCTGCCTCCCTCCCCCAAAAACAACCATCTAGTTACCAGAGCAGCTGGTCTGGGTGAGAGGGAGTGATAACATGAGAACGGGGTGAAGGCAGCTCTGGGGAGGGGGCTTAGATTCCCAGCTAATTATGGAGCAGTGCTAAATCTCTTCTCCTCTGGGTCCTCCCCCACCTGATCTGCAGGGGCCAGTAATAATGTTATAGACAAACAGGCAGCAGAACTCCTGCCCAAGCGTGGAGAGAGGCATTAGTTCTGTCACAGGTGCAACCTCTGGGTAAAACAAAGGAGGTGGAGTGAGGGAGTTCTCATTTCTGGGCATGTATGAGATGCTTCAGCAAACATCAGTCCCTCCAGAGTGATTTATAATCCTGTGGCACAGTCTCGGTGTCCCTTGGAAGTTGTGCTCAGGGCAGTGATGCTGCAGTGAGTGGAGGTGGAAACACTGCCCCCGTCCCACCTGCGGACTGAACCTGTCCCAGCCAGCGGTTCTGTGCACCCCAAGGGAGGAGGGGAGTGGGCTGTGAGCCCCTAGGACCACTGCCTGTGCGAGGCTGGGCTGGCAAGTGTGGGGTTGGGGGGACTGCCCTCAATCTTACTGGGTGACCCCCCTCATGCCAGCTGGTGGATGGTGCTGGGTTCAAGTTGAAGCTGCTGATGACAGTACAAAAAACAGTGTCAGCATGAGAGACTTGGGTCCCTCAGCATGAGGCAGGAGCCCTGTGCCTCAACGGGGCACAGTCACCACCAGGTCACCTGGGTGTAGAGGAGGTGGAGGGACAGATCTCACCACCACCCTGTGCCCTCAGTTGATCTCAGCTGTTTCACATGCTGGCTCTGTTCACTCCGCTCTTGGATGTTGCCACCAGCCCCCAGGGCCTGTGGGTTAGGATCCAGGTCAGGGGATGATGTTCTCATGTCCTAACCTTCTTGTGCTTTCTCTGTGCTGTTTGGCTGCAGCACAGATCCTCACCAGTGGTGACTGGCCCTTATGGCCAGGACTTGCTCTAGGCTGTTCAGCATTTTCAGGGGTAGATCAGGCTGATGGTGATGTTTCGTGAGTCCTTGGCACACAGCCCAGCAGTTGGGATTCTTTACAGGGAGCAATGAGGCTGAGTGATGCTCTGCAGGTGCTGCTGTCCTGGAGGTGGTCCGTGCCACAGGCAGAGATGCAGTGCTGTGTGACCCTCGGTGCTGTGTGTCCCCCGGTGCTGGCTGCAGCCACACAGCCACCAGACTGGGATGGGGAGGGTTGCTCACTGACAGCAGTCAGCACTTTGTGCTGAAGCCCTGCTTCTCTTTCTGTTTCAGATAATCACTCACAAGTGTCAAGGGCCTCTCTCCGTATCCGTATCCTGGATGTCAACGACAATCCACCTGAGCTCGCCACTCCGTATGAAGCTGCTGTGTGTGAGGATGCCAAGCCAGGCCAGGTAGTGGGTGTCCCCCAACCCCGGTCTCATGCTGCAGGCAGTGCTCTGGACCAATGCCAGCCTGCCAGTCCATCCCCTTCTGCCTGAGACTCTTCCCATGCAGCCCCTGTCACACTGGGAATTGCTCTGTCCGTGTCCCACAGCCGAGCCCATCTCATGGCTCATCCCGTGCCGTGGCCTCAGCCAGTGATGCCACTGGCTGGACCCTGCGTGCAGGGCCCTGGGAGAGGCTGCAGATGCCACCCTGGTGCTCACCTCTGCCCTCTCCCCACAGCTGATCCAGACAATAAGCGTTGTGGACCGGGATGAGCCTCAGAGCGGCCATCATTTCTACTTCACGCTGGCACCTGAAGCCACCAACAACCACCACTTTTCTTTGCTGGACATCCAGGGTAAGTCCTGCTGCACCCCTGGCCCATCAGCCCTTGGGCTGAGTGGCACCACTCGCTGTGAGGAGGCAGATGGGCCGTGGGCTTAGGGTCTGTCTGTGCCAGGTGGAACTCCAGGTGCTTTGGGCATGCCACAAGGCTTCTTGCCAACATGAAATGGTGGGACTGGTCAGCTAGCAGCTTGGATTTCTTCAAGGAGGCTCTGCCAGCTTTATTCCCTACTGCAAGCAGCTCCAAAGCTCCTCTTGTGCTGTCGGGTTAAGCCTTTGGTGTTTTCAGGGCTCTCGATCCCTTTCTTCATGTGGAATCTCCAGCCTGCCCGCAGGCAAGGAGATGATGTGGATTTATAGATGAACACACTCACGTTTTGAGCATTATGATTTATCCCTCTACAAGGTAAATCCTGGAGCGTGGGTCATCCTGGGGCTGCCGTGTGGGTGGGCAGCCCCATCTCCCTGACAAACAGGCAGTGTGGTCATACCACAGCCAGCCCGTGGCCATGGTGGGTCCTCTGGGATACAGCCTGCAGAACCTGATTCCCTGTGAGGTGACGGCTCCAGGATGCAGTTCCTCTGCTTTTCCTGGGGCTCATCCTGTCCTTTGGGACATGCAGCCAAGCATGTCTATTCCTTTGGGGTTCTCTGTGTCCCTGGACTCAGTGGCATTTGTGTGGACAATAACAATCCAGAAAAGTAGTTATCAGGCTATTTTTGACTGTGTTTAGGGTGCATTTAGGTGCTGATTGCAGCAGTAGGTATAGCAGGGACCCCTGCAGATACTGGGACCTTCTCCAGCCAGATGTGCACACACTTGTCACAGAGGCCAGCCCTGATGGAAGCTAGCAGATCACATTGAAATTCTTCTTTGGTTTTGATTGGGTTTTCTTTTAAAACCATTTTCTGTCTCTGCTTTTGCAGCTTCATCTGTCAAAAGTCTGGTTTAGTTTGTTCTAAGCTTATCAGAGGAGCCTTCTGCTGATGTAAGATCGTGCTTGCTCAGTCCGGTTCCGTTATTAGGGACAGTCAAGCTGGAAAAACTTCAGATGTGATGGCAGAAGGGCTGGGTGTTGTTTTGTGTCCTGAGAAGCTCAGCTGTCCCTGACCTGAGCCCCTCCCCCCGTGCTCAGGGGGCAGCTGTTTACAAGACCTTTGCTTCTTATCATGTAAGAAGGCTTTAATCCTCAGCGAGATTTTGCCCCACACCCAGCGATTAACTTCCCTCACTTTCTCTGAAGGACCTTATGAAAATGTGCTTGAGTGCACTGAGCTGCACCCGGGTGTCCATCCCTGCCCAGACACAGGGCTCCAAGGAGCCCAAGGCCATGCTCCTGGCTCTGGGCCAGGGTCTCTACCATGGCCAGTTTGCCATCCCAGGGCCACCACTGCTGTTCTGCTGATCTGGCAGGGCATGTGGCCGGGGGTGGCTGGGGTTTAGCAGGGGCTGCTTGGTTTCCCAGCCCTGTGTAGGGGTCACACCTCGTTTGGGCCTCTGGGGTCCACCAGCCCCAGAGCTGGCATTGTAGTAGATTCAGGACATTGGCTTGTGTGCCACCATTTCCCCCAGAGCTGCTGCTCTCTTGAGTGGGATGAGGTTCTCGTGGCATGGGGTAATTCTTTGTGCTAAACGATCCCTCACGCTTTGCGTGTGGTGTAACACTGCATAAAATGAGTAAAAGCTGGCATCACCTCCGCCTCCTGCTCTTGGGAAAACAAATGTTGTTGCTGCAGGGTTATTCCCAGAGTGTTTGCAGACCCTCCTGAGTGCTGAGCAGTGCTGTCTTCCACAGCAAGCGGAGGTGGCTGCCTGTGCAGATGGAGACACCCCTCATTTCTAGCAGGCATGTGTCTTGGTGCCACCTCCCTCTCTTTGATTTCTGCCCCCTCCTCCAATTCATCAAGTGCCCTGGGTACACTCGCCTTTGCCTCTCCTCTCACAAGTCCCCTTGCTGCATCCTCCCTTGTGTTCCTCCGTTGCTTCCCTCTCGTGCATTCACCCCTCTTGCACTTGTCTCTACTCCCCCATATAAATATCAGTGGTGACAAACTGCTACCACCAGCCCATCTGTTTCTTTGTACAAATTTGTAGCCAGTTTTGAAACGTGATTTATAAATATTGCTTTTGCAGCCAAGGAGTGACACTGATGGATGTCAGCACAGATGGATTCGCTAAGCTCTTGCTTAAATCTGTTTTTTTTTTGCTTTGCACCTACTTCCCTTGGCTCCTTCATGGCAGCAGAAAGCCACCTCAGGAGGTGACTTGTCCTCAGCACCACCTTGGGAGCACCAGGGCTCTTCCAAGGCTCCTCAGGGGCAGCGTGGAGGGGTCTGTGAGGGTTTTAGGGAAAGCCCAGGGCGATTAATGGGGCAGCCCATTCATCAGGTGATGGGCTTGTGGAGTACCTGCTCGTAAGCAGGGGTACAGCTGCAGTGACACGGCAGGTGTGCTCCAGCCTGGTGCTGCCCAGGCACAGCCCCAGCAGCACTGCCTGCCCAAACCCTGCCAGGCCAGGCTCTGCTGCTGCCAACTCTGCACAGAGCAGGAATGGCCCTTGCAAGGTGCCTGCAGTTCGCACCCACAGCCCCAGCAGCACGCAGGGCTCCTCTGTCTCCAGTGCTCTGGGTTGGAGGCATGAGAGCCAAGGGTGTCCCTGCAGGTGACTGTGTAGCTGAGTTACAGCTGGTTTGCAGGAGTTGGACTTTTGGAAGCAGTGCCATTGTCCTGCGGGTATCTCTCTACTGGCATCTTTCTCTCCATGCTTTTGCTCTGCCCAAGGGACTGCTCACAGACTTCCTGATTCTTCAGACAAGGAACAAATGTCACCTGTGGTAACAACAGTCACGATCCTGAAGGAAGATGCCCAGCAAATGGAATGACTAAAGGAAGAGATGGAATTAGAGAAGCTGACCATGCTCAGGTCCAACTGGTGCCATTCCAAAGACATTTGCTATCCTCTGTCTCCTAACTTGCCTTTTGCTGGGTCTTTCTGGTCTGAGAAAATTGATTACAGAAGGATCAAAGGCAATTAAAACCTGAAATCATGTTCTCCAAGAAATGCTAATTGTGTTGGAAGGAATGGTAGAAGGCATCCAAGCCCAGCAACCTGGAAGGAGTGCTAGGTAATATGGAGTGACACATGGAGCTACTGACTCCAGGGCTCAAGGGCTAGGCAAGCAGATGTCTGAACTCTCTGCAGGTCTCATTAAGAGCATGTAATGGGTGATAGAAGATTTGAAAATTGTAACAATCAAAAGGAAAATGTTGGGATTTGAGGACTGCCTGAGGATAGAGGAATCTGCTTCCTGCCCCGCAGGGATGCCACTCTCAACACAAGCAGCACAGATGCTGATTTGACCCGGGGGGGTGGGGTCCGTGTGTAAAAGAGCATCAAACCTCCACGGGGCTGAGCAAACGGGGAAGGAGCAGCAGTGTTGCTGTGGCCTGGCACCCAGAGAACTCAGCAGAAGGAAGAGGCAAAAGGGAAAAACAGGATGTTTCTTCTACCAGCTGCACTACCTGGGGCTGAAGGAGGTCTGTTCCCTTTGGACAGCCCTGGCAGCAGCATGCCCGTGGGCCTAGACGGGTGCCAGGGGCTCCTCCCTGGAGCTGGTGTGCCTGGGCACTGGTGCAGCAGGGCAGCTGCTGGAGAAGAGGAAGGCAGATGCTCACAGGGCCCTGTGAGTGCAGGAGAGGGCAGGGACATCAAAATCCCTCCTGCTCTCCTAGCACTGCTTGAGATTGAGTTATGAGAAGGATTTATTAGTTCTGTCTTTGAGGCTGCCAAGAGCCTATTTGGAGAGGGAATCTGAGAGACTTAATTGTTTTATTATTCCTAGTGATGTTAAGCTCCCACCAGAGTATATTGTGTTTCTAAACTTTCCTTTAGGGCAGCCTTGATGGGTCCCTGCTCACTCAGCTCGCATCATTTCCTGCCTTGTCCAGTGACTTGTTCCTCAGGGGGACAGAGGGGCTGTCTCCTGCCCATCACACAAGGCGATGTGATGTGACGTGGGATAATGTCACTGTGTGATCGGGGAGAGGGTGGCAGAGGAAACCTGCAGAGAAAATGTCAGTTTGTGCAACAAGATGGCAGTGATAGCAAATGGTTTGGCTGGGGCATCACAGGACGCTCAGCACAGCCTTTGGAGCGGTGTGACCGCAGCAGAAGGTGCAGCTTTGCGGGGACTGGGCAGGAAACCAAGTGTGGAGACCCAGACTTGTCTGTGCAGGGAAGCTGTGGATTAACGTCTGCTCCCGTTCCAGTGTGGGCAGCACTGCTCCTCGGCCTTGTCACCCCAGAAATGGACTTGGCAGGAAGCTGCTGAGGAGGAAGAGACGTGAGGGCTGCGGGGCCAGGCCTGCCCGGGCTGTGCTGTTGCAAACCAATCTGCGCCAAGACGCATCCTGAAGAAGCTGCTGTGGGTCAGCTGACTGTAAAGAAACAACCAAGAGAAATTACATTGTTTTGTAGGAGGTTGCTTTGGGTTCATCTTCCAGGATACATTTTCCCAGACCTGGGCAAAATATTCTTCACTTCTGTGGTCAAAGGGACTGCGATTGCATGGCAGCAGCACGGCTTTTTTTGGAGTATCTCAGAGGGGAACACAGAAGTTTGCAAGTAATGGGAGTGCAAACACTTAACAGAGCAGACAGTTGTCCGTGGTTCTGGAGAGCCTGGGCACAGCTGGGGGGCAGTGGGGGGATGGCTGAGCCATTTCCATGCCCAAGGCAGCTGGTCTGTGCCAGGCTGGGCTCTGGCTGTCCAGCCTTGGTGAGCAGTGTCACAGGTGTAGATGTGAAATTTCTGCAGATCTCCCTCCTGTAGGAAGGGCTCGTGTCACCCTGTTCAGAAGAGAAAATGTGGTTTCAAGATGTTTAAAATAGTGTTTGTAGCTGGGATTTTTGTTGCTCCCTTGCACCAAGTTTTGGATCACAGAGCAAACCCTCAGGCCCTTCCTGAGCCGAGGTTTCTCAGAGCAGAGCTGTCTGTCATGCTGCTCGTAGATTTAAGTACTGGCTGCTTTATTGTGACTTGGTGGGTTTGGCAGTGGCAATATTTCTCCTTCCCATCCCTGGAGGTGGGGGCTGGGTGGTGCCACGCTGCCTGAGCCGTCTCAGTTGAGCTGAGGCTGGTGTCTGCCTCTCTGCCACTTGCACGTGTATTTTCCCCTGGTTTCTAGAGACTGTTTCTAAAAATACAGCATGGCAGGTCCCTAACAGGAGCTGGAGCTGGCTGTAAACAGAAGGGAGTTGCCAGCCTCGGGCTGCATTTCCAGAGAGGTTTGGAGCTGGTGCTACCCCTGCATTTACACAGTGCTGAAGGGCAGCTGGGAGAGCTCCCAATCACTGTGTTCCTTCAGACCTGGGCTAGAGATGGGCTGAGCTGCAGTGGAGGTGCAGGGCTGTGTGCTCAGGGATCCTCTGAACCAGAATCTGACCCCAGCCCCGGTCTGGTGACCTGACTGATGTGCCAGTGCCAGCAAAGATGACCCTCCTGGGCTGTGGCCAGAGCCTTGCTCTCTCACAGCACTTTGGTCTGCCCTATATGTCCTGTGACTTTGTCTCCACTGGATCCAAGAGTCCGAGGCTTACCCTTAGCTGGGCTAGCTAGGAGTTAGTCCTGGTCTCTTGCTGAGATGGTGCCATTAACATTATTAATATCTCCCTGCTATGCTGCAGCAAGGCAGGGGGAGCAGCACCAAATAAGATCTCGTTACCTTTGTGCAAATGATTAGCATAACAATAATTTTTTTTCCCCTAGCTCATCCTTGGTAGGCCATAGGCAGCTCTCAGCAGCGTCCCTGCACCCAGAAGTTGATGCTCCCCAGGCACCTCTGCCCAGGCTGGTGCTCCCCTACTCGTCCTGCCAGCTCTGCCCAGTTCCACAGTGGACAGTACCATGTCCTGTTCCAGGAGTCTCAGCCACGGTGACCGGTGTCCTGCAGGGCAGGAGATGGGCTCTGTACTCTGCTGTGCCCTGGCTGCCCTGCAGTGCCTCCAGGACTTGCTTCCCAGCTGGCCAGTGGGTCTTCCCCCCCCTGCACTCAGTGCATGCCCCTCTCCTGGCTCGCCTCCTGTCCCTGCCGTGCCCCGTGTGCTCTCATGCAGCACCCAATCCATACGGCAATTTCCGCGGTGGCAGCAGCCCAAGGGCCAGAGTTATAGTAGATGTCTTTTCCAATCGAAGAGCTGATTCATAGAGAAAGGGGCTGGTCCAGCACAAATCATGTCTGATGAGGACAGTCTGTAGACAGCAGCACCTTGCTGCGAGTGGGCCAGTCTGCGTTTTGTTAGATAAAGACTGCAGACAGTCAGCAGTGGCTTCTGAGACCTGACTGCAATTGTCACCTGCTGATCAGCCCCACCCTGCCTGCGTTGCTGCTGGCAGCACCCCTGAGCAGGGAGTGGATCCGAGTGTCAGTCGCTGTCCCTGCCCTCCCTCCCTGCTCCCAGTCTGCAGCAGCTGCTTCTTGGGCTCGTCGCTGACACCGGGGCCCTGGAGGGTCCCGTGAAGTGGCCGTGTTAATGGGATCATAATGGGCTGTGCAGTGCCAGCTGAGCCCCTGAAGCAGCAGGGTGTGAGCAGATGGGGAGGAGGATGGCTGACTTGGCTGGGAGGATTGGAAGGAGCTCTGCCTGCTCCTTCAGGAGTTACAGAGGATCATAGGGGTGTTTGGCCCTCTGGCAGAGCCCTTCACATACGTCTCTTGGGTTTGGAAGCTGTGTCTGCTCTTTCAGGCTCAGTGCCACCTGCACACCCTGTCTGCTCCGGTGTCCATGTCAGAAACTGATTTTTATCCTGATTCTGACTCTGTCCCACTCTCAGATGGTCTTTTGGAAGGTTTTTCCCCTCTCTCTGCCCTACCTGCTTCGTTTGTCAGTGCAGCTCAGACACTCACCTGCTGCTGCTCCTGTGTGAGGTTCAATCCTGGGTGTGCTGACAGAGAAACGCCTGGCTGGCCCCAAGGTGCCAGAAAAGGGGCATGTGCTGGAGCAGAGCTGGGCACCTTCAGTCACTCAGGCTGCAGTGCTGGGGAGCCATGAGCTGGGTCCCTGCAATGGAGCAGGGAGAGGCCCCAGCCTCTCTCAGGGCGGCTGCTGGGGATGGTGCACAAAGAGCTGCTGTTCATCCAGAGCATGGAGGAGCTCGTGGAGGGTCCTGCAGGCTGTGACATGGGGGTGACCTCACTGTGGGTTTGCTTGTTCCCTGCAGACAACACGGCTGCGGTGCACACACAGAGAGTGGGCTTCAACCGCCAGGAGCAGGACGTGTACCTGCTCCCCATTCTGGTGGTGGACAGCGGCCCCCCGGCCCTGAGCAGCACGGGGACTCTGACCATCCGTGTCTGTGGCTGCGACAGCAACGGGGCCATCCAGTCCTGCAACAGCACAGCCTATGTCGTGTCGGCCACGCTGAGCCCCGGCGCCCTCATCGCGCTGCTGGTCTGTGTCCTCATTCTGGTTGGTGAGTTCCTGCCTGTCCCCCGGGCCCCTCTTGTCCTGTCCCAGGTCCCCTCCGTCAGCATCACATGAACACGTGCAGGCTGGTGCTGTGGGCATGGAGCAGGCTGCATCTGTCTGCTCCCTGGTAGCTGCAGCATGGGAGGCAGGAATCTCAGCCCTGCCAGTGGGGGACCAGCAGGGAAGCTCCCGTGTTCGCCCCAGCTCCTGTGTGCTGGGCTCCACGAGGCAGCCAGGGCAGGGCTCCCTGTGCCAGGCAGGTGTGCCCAGCGGAGCCTGGAGAGCTGCTGTTTCCATTCCCACCTGGATGGGCAGGAGCCAAGAGCTCTCTCCAGCTGCCCTGCTGTGCCCACTCAGGTGTCTCAGAGCAGACAGGGTGTGGGTGCTCCAAGGGTCAGAGTTTGAGCGTGTGTGAGCACGTGGGCAGGACATGGAGCTGGGGTGCAGGCAAACCAGAGCACTGCCCAGATCAGGCCTGTGCCCCGGGAATGCTGCTGCCAGCCACTGACACACTGGCACAAGCTTTGCTGGGCCACCACAGCACGATGTGTAGGTGCAGGGGGAGCATGGGCTTGTGTGCACATGGGAAGGGGCTCTGAGCATGGGGTGTTGTGCTGCCCTCAGGTCTAGCAGAGGGCAGTTGATGGATGCAGCTGCTGAAAGCCCTCAGGCCCTGGGACTGGCTCCTGGCTGGTTCCAGGGGCTGTTCAGACACCTGTAGGAGCCAGCGTGTTGTTTGGTGAGGTCTCCTCTGCTTGGCATGGCTCCACTCCCCGTCTCTTGCTGCATCTCCATTCAGAAAACCCTTTCCCACAGGGTGCACTTTACACTGGTTTCATTTTCCAACGCAGCGCAAACAAATTTCTGCCTAATTGCCCAAACGAATAAAGTGCACATCGGTGCTTTAAAGGTGATGGGCTGAATGGATGATGATCCAGGACACAGCTGCGGCTCACTGCTCAGGCTCTCTGCCATCTGCTCCACGCTCACCCACCCAACATTTGGCTGCTGCTGTGATTCATGCACCCCCTTTTCCTACTCATCTTCTGCAGAACCCATCCGTTTGTCTGTCCAGCCATGTGTTTATCCATCTGTCCCTCCTGTCTCGGCGGTCGCGCTGCATGGGAAAGGAAGCTCCCGGTCTGCACTGGAGCCCGGGCAAACCTCTCTCCAAGCCAGTTCACAGCACGGCTGCTGCTCGATGAGCCTGGCTGATCGGAACCGTCTGGCATTCCGGCGGGGCTCCCCGTGCCAGGGGGTGCTCTGCCACTGCATCTGCTGCCGAGCAGGAGGTGTCCTCACCCCGCGGGAGCACAGCTTCCACGAGACCCTGCACCCGTCTGACCATCTCTTCCTTTCCCAGTGCTGGTCCTTCTGATCCTCACGCTGAAGCGACACCACAAAAGCCACCTGACTTCTGAGGATGACGAGGACATGAGGGACAATGTCATCAAATACAACGATGAAGGGGGCGGCGAGCAGGACACGGAGGCCTACGACATGTCAGCCCTGCGCAGTCTCTACGACTTCAGTGAGATCAAAGGTGGCGATGGAGGTGGGGGGCCAGGAGATGGGGGCCCGGGCAGAAACCCTGCCTCTGAGCTCCATGCCCTCCCACAGTGGGTGCAGAGCCCGGACCTGGACTTCTCTGTGTTCAGAGACTATATCTGCAGGAAGGTGGAGCAGGCGGACGAGGACCTCTCTGTGCCGCCCTATGACTCATTCCAGACCTATGCCTTTGAGGGCTCGGACTCCCCTGTGCCCTCCCTGAGCTCCATCAACACCTGGTCCAGCAGTTCGGAGCAGGACTTCTCGTACCTGAGGGGCTGGGGGCCCCGTTTCCGGCAGCTGGCAGCGCTGTACGCGGGGCGCAGGGGCGAGGAGGACAGTGAGGAGTCGTAGCTGCCTCACCAACCCCTGCGAGGCTCCTGGTGCCTCCTGGACTGCGGCTCCCGCACCGCGAGGTGCCACGTGGGGACCGTGGCCAGACTCCACGGCTGCCACAAAGGGGCTGCGCCGCAGAGCCGGGGGCACTGGGGGACTGCTCCTCTGCAGCTGCCTCCTGCTTGGGTGGGCTCCGCACCCCCGAGGAGGGGCTGGGGAGCCCGGAGGAGCCTGGCCGTGGTGTCTTCATCTCCTCAATGCCAGTCCTCATTAGAGCACTACGCATTAACTTAAGAAAGAAAATCTAATTCAAGAGAGTTTGGAGACGATTTCTCCCCCCACAAATTATCATTTAAATAGATCTGTTCGGTGAGCCCCATCCAGGAGAGGAAGAGCAAACCGGGAGCCTTTTGTTGTCTAAATTGTTTTTGTCACTTGAGTCAGAGTATTTGAAGAGCTTTGCTTTCTTTAAGAGCTTTCCTTTCAGAAGGAAACAAGCTTTTAACTTCTGTTAAGATTTCCCCCCCTTAAGTTCACTCGCTTTTTTGGAGTCTTCCTTCTCTCTGTTCCCTGTGGGCCTCTCAGCAGCCCCCAGCTGCCAGCATGGCATTGGAGGGATCACATCCTGCACAGAGCGGCCGCTCACCTCAAACCACACTTCACCCCCGCACTGCAATCTCTTCGCCCCTGTCTTGTGGTCACAGAGGTGCTTGTGATGTGAAGGGGCTGTCCAACACTCCCTGCACAGCAGACATTGTCTGCAAGGTCCTGGAGTGCCCCACAAGCCCCAGTGACAGATGGGGACATCCCACCCATGACCAAGGCATGGTGCTGTGGCCTGAGCCGCGGGGCAGTCACAGTGCTGGGGAGCACCGTCGGAGGGGCCCAGAGAAGCACCCCCAGTGGGCTCTGCCAGCCCCTCATGTGGGACTCAGGGTTTACGGAGCTCTCAGTCAGGCACTGGCTGTCACCAAACGGTATGAGCTGCACAGGGCAGCAGGCAGGACATCAGTGCTACCTGACCCACAGCAGCTGGGGAGAGCTGCATCCCATGGAGGACCATGCTGCAGGGTACGAGATAACCCCAGCCCCTGACTGGGGGGAATAATTCCTGCTTACACCCAGCTGACAGCAAAGCATCATCATGGGCGACAGAAAAGCCATCCCCAGGAGGTGTACATGAGGCCAGGTCCTGCTTGTGCTGCTCTGCCTGCTGGCTGCAGGCTGGGCAGCAAATCTGTAACACCTTGTGGTCCCTGGGGTGTTGCCACCCCAGCACAGTGCCCTGCAAGAAGCCAGCATGAGCTGCCACAGTGGGGCTGCCTTTGTATGAAATTCCTGGGTTTGGAAGGCAGGTCAGGAAGATGCCAACAGGACGTGCCATTGCTCCTTGGGCTGTAGATGATGCTGGAGGAAAGCACGGGGTGCCCTGTGCCTTCCCAGCCTGCCGACTACCCCGGGGGGACTGAACAGCACGTGGAGCGATGCCCTCACACGGCGTCTCAGGCAGTGCTGGCTAGTGCAGCTCCTTATCTGTTCATGTTGGGAAAAAAATCAATTATATCCTTGATAGGTAACTGATAAGGTCTCCCAAGGCCTGACACATCCTGGGCTTATCATTGGGTTTGTCCTTTTAGTTTTACCACAGTGTTTTCTCTCCTTGGAGAAGGTTTAACTGTAAATGTACGTGTGTTCATTTTTTTACCGTGTGTTGCTTCCCGGCTGCTGGTGTTGGTCCTTTGGCTGCAGCATGAGACCTGACAGTGGAGAGGGACAGGACCTGTCCTTGTCACAGTGCCTGCCCTGCCCGCTGCTGCCACGGCCACCTGTGCAGAGCCCCAGCTTGGCTCATACCAGGACCAGGAGCTCCTTTCTCCATAGGGCCTCCCTGGTCCCCCCGAGGAGGCGGTGGATGCCGTGGCTGGCACCCAGCCTGGCGTGCTGCTGGTTCACTGTGATGATGCTGGGGAGGCAGCGGGGCTCTGGAGGGCCAGCTCTGGCCGCGCTGCCTCGGGCAAGTCATGCCCTGCACCACCCCCTGCCCCCCCTCCCCGTGCAGGAGAATGGAGAAAGCCCTCTCTTTCCTCAGGAATGTGTTCGTGTTTTCCCTCTGGGCTGCAGATCCGTGCCCGAGCCCCTCCGGCACTGGCCCTTCCTCTAGCCAAGTGTTGTGCAATAGCAGGGCTCTGTCCTAGGAGATGGGGTCTGACAGGGTCCGTGTTTAGCAAACCTCCCACCGGGTTCCCCCCATCCCTGCCCGGCGCATGCACGCACGCTTGCGTTTTAGTTTCTACCCCAGTGTAAATAGGGGAGGAGCGCGGTGCCGAGCCGGCCGCGCCGCGCTGCCCGTGCCCCCTGCCCCGCACCCGCGGGGGGAGCCGGCAGCTGCCACCATGTCTGATGGAGTCACACTTCGGTTTTTGTTTCTCTACCCAGATGAAATTAGAAGGTTGATTTCCTCACCCTTGTTATTTTTTTCAAGGTCTTTCTGGGACCTGGAAATAAATTATTTCCTTGTCGTCCAGCCCGAGTCTTATGTGCGTATTTTGTCTGGTTTCCTTTCCTCACATTGCACTGTCAATGTGGTCCCATCAGCACCTTTCCAGAGGGGCCAGGTGCTGCCTGTGGCAGAACAAGCTGTGGCAAAGCCCAGCACAGCCCATCCACCTGCTGCCCGCAGCACATTCCCACTGGCAGGATGCTGCATCTCTGGCCTCTTCCCATTTTTCATTGAAACGCTCATCAGAAAAAGCTTCTTCAAGAGAAGGGTAATTTTTTTCTGTCTGAATTTGAAGGAAACGATGAAAAAATGTGCCCTTGGCTTTCTCTATTCCTGGGCCCCGAGGCATGTGGCTGCTGGCCATGGAGGGATGGAGCAGGCATGGAGAGGAAACATGGCTGAGCTCAGTGGTGGCCTCAGTGCAGGTCAGCAGATAGAACAGGCAGACTTTAAACCGCTCCATAAAGTGATGGTCATTTAAACAGCAACTTGCATCCTGGCTCCAAAACAGGATTATTGATCCCCCGGGTCTTTGAGTGTTTCCGTATCCTTCGCCATCCCCGTGCCTCCCCTCCATCCTGCTCCCTTGATTATTCACTAAATGTTATGGAAGAAGCATCTGGTGACCTTTGATGACAGCAGTTAGTGGGATGCTGCGACAGAAGGGGTTAGTCTGGAGGCCGGAGGGTTTTCCAGAGGCGCAAGGTGTGCTGCCAGACCTCAATGTGCACACAGTTTTCCTTTTCACAGTTTCAGTGAGTGCCTCTACAGCTGCCAGCCTTGAGGAGGCCTTTCTGCCAGCGTCACCATTAATTACCCCCTCACAGTGAGTCCGCCAGCACTGTGCTTGCAGCCACCTGCTCCAGCAGGTCTGAACACTTGGCCGGTTCCTGTTTGCAGAGAGCTGATGCTTGCTGTGTGTTTCCACTCAGGTTTCCAGCCCAGGTCCTTGACAACATGAACTCTCATTCAGCTGCAGCCCACACAAACATGTTTTCAAAGTCCTGCTGTCCCACTTCAGGCACCCAAACACCTTGGAACTCTGGAGGTCAGTGCCTGGAGTGTTCTGGGAGCTCCATGTTGAGGAGGAGGCATCTCCAGTCACTGTACTCCTTGCAGTGACAAGGTGACAAGTGCCTGGAGTTGAGTGGCGAGCCTGGGCTGTGCAGAAGGATTTGCTTCTTGATATTGTGGAGAAATTGAGAAAGCTCAAAGCAACAAATTGCCAGCCAGAACCAGACCCTTCACTACAAAAGAGGAGGATTATTGAGAGCTCTGATTGCAGAAGCATCTGTGAAGATGCTTGGAGAGCTCCATCCCTCCTCAACAGGGCCCTTTCTTTGGAAATTTTCCTATAGCAGCTCTCTCTCTCCAGCAGTCGCACAACAGCCTTGTTGCAGAGCAGGACAAGGGCAGGTCCCTCTCCTCCCCCTTCCACAGGAGAGGAAGCCAGTCCTGCTCTGCAGATGATGGCCCTCGCCATGTGGGACACGGCCTGTGGCTGTCTGCTGGCAGTGGCAGAGGATGGTGGCACTTGCTGCTGTCACATTCTGAACGGGTCCTGCAGGGCTGGTGCTGCTGTTCCCCATTGACCACTGGCTTTTGCAGCCCCAGCACAGGGAGGCTGCATCAGTCACCTCCAATGCCTGCACTGAGCCACGGCAAGCTCCAGAAGGCAAGGTGTTCCAGGCCTCCTCCAGAGAGGTATTTGCAAAAGATGGATGTGATCTGCTGGGATCATTAAGGGGAAGTGAAAAAAGGGCAGTGATACCTGCACCCTCAGGAGGGAAATCCATCTCTGGTAACTGAGTGCAACGAGGCTGTGTCAACCTCCACCTCTCGCTCCCGCTGGCAATACACTGCTTGGGAAGGTGATCCCTTCTCCCCCGTATCCTCTGAGGAAGCTGCTTTATCACTGGAAAGCTGACTCCTCTAACCACCTCCACTACAGCTAATATCCCAGCTCCCTACGTCCTTTCATTTACCAAGCCCTTGAGCTTCCTTCAGGGTTGGTGTCAGACTGTCCTCCCTGCTCAGCAAAATCTCAGTTTTACACCTCTGCCCTGTGCTCAGTGCAGGCAGCAGCTCTGTCTTGTCAGGGCTCTCTTGCTGTGCCACAGTGCTCCAGTTTGTGCTCTCTACTTGCTGTGGCTCTGCTGCCTCCCAGCCCATCCCAGGAGTGTTCCCAGCATCTGGAGATGACCTGGCCTTGTGCTTGTGCTTGGCAGCAAGTCTTGCTTCCCTGGTCACTGGCAGAAACGGTGCAGTGTTTCCAGGCAGCTGTCATGGCTCTGTCCCCACAGCCAGAGGAGTTGGAGAGAAACAAAATCATTGTATTTCGTGTGGCCCTGGAATCCCGCTCCCGGGCAGTCAGTGAGGCTGAAACCACCCCTTGCCCTGCTTAGCAGCCAGGTCAGTGTGGTAGAGATCTGGTGTTCCTGCTGCCACCGGGACTACATCCATTTGGGATGCTGGTGCCGTGCCGAGCGGCCGTCATCTGTCATGCACACGTCCCAGCCTGGGCTTTCTGCAGCCTAAAAATCCCTTTGCAGATGAGTGTGGATTTAATGACTGTTCTTCAGGTTCTCGGGGAAGGACCTCGGGCTTTGCAAAGCTGAATCCAGCACAGGTGGACAGAGTCTGAAGCAGCTGGGATACACAGGCAAAGCACAAACAGGGGCCCTCACACAGGAATCACACAACCCTGGCTTTGCAAAGGGCCCCGTCCCATCCCACCTGTCCTCACCGACGCTGGAACGCATTTATGGGGGGTCAGCATCTGGCATTTAACATCACAACCTTGAGCAGCAAGGAAGGGTAAAAGCAGGAGCAGGAGCCCAGTGCTTTGGCATTTGCCTCCCCTGGCAAACATGTCACCATCCACCCACCTCTTCTGTTGCTGAGTGCCCTGGTCTGCCGTGGTTGGGAGGCCAAGTGGTGGTTCTTAGACATCCCTCATCTGTTGTCAGTGACAGCAAGTGTTTGTGGCTCAGGGGTTGTTAACTGCTCGTGTCCAGCTACACTGTGGGCTTATAGACATCCATTTTTCATCTCTTCATCGGTGCTGTGGAGGAGCTGCTCAGGTGAGCATGAATTGGTCCAGCTGTTCACTGGGGGAACAGCCACCAGCCATTTCTAAGCAGAATGCATCCCTTTAGCTAGTGTTTCTACCATGGTAATTCGGGAAGTTTTAATCCCTTTTCTGCTGGAGGAAACACGCATTGCCCCCCACCCCAGCAGAGCCAGTGGTCAGGAGTCACTCACCTTTAGCCAGGAGCCAGGCAGCTGTTGAAATCCCTTCACACTACACACAAATTAGGCATTGAAAACACTCATTACAGCCAACATGACACGCCTTCATTATTCCAGAATAATTGTCTGAAAGGCTCAGCTCAGAGCACAAGCTTCACTTGGTGCAGGAATGTGATAAAAAGAAAACAGGAAGTGCAATCAATGCTTGTAATCCTTTTAAATAAAAAGGTACTTGCTAGTAGCTGCCAACATCTTTAAAAAGCTGTGATTTCCCCGGAGAGAGCCCTTATCAGCTATGACTGCGTGTCATTCTGGCTGTCTGTCAATCCATCAGACTTCAGTGCCACTGACATTAAGAAGCCAGGCGTTAAGATTATCACATTTACCCGTAATGTAGCACAGATTGTGTTGACATTTGGGAAGTATTCCACCACAGGAGCTATTTGACTTCAATGCTTTCTTTCTGAAGAAACAAATGCTTTGAAATATTTGAGGGCAGGAGCCTGCTCTGCCTGCAGGGTGCTGGCGTGGGGAGCAGGAGGAGGGTGAGGGTGTGCGGGCGATGACCGTGAGCAGGAGAGATGCTGACCATGCGTCGGTGTGGAGAGCAGACTCAGGCTCTGAGAAGGCTGGGGGGGGCTGAATCCCAGGAATGCTGCTCTCCCATTCTTTCTTGCACCTGTCACAGAACAGTCAGGTACATGGGTTGGCTGAGGAGGGATCCCCTGCCTGCCCAGGACAGCCACAGTGCAGAACCCGCTGTGCCACAGGAACCCAGAGAGCAGCACCCTCTGTTTGCACTGTCCTTCCTCCTCCTGGCATTCCTCCTCCCGGGAAGGCCTCAGCTCTGTCCACAGCAGAGAAGGGGATATTCCAGGCTAGGCCATAGAAACAATGGTAAATGACCTGAAATGAACTGATTAATCTCTTTAAATAACTGTGAAACCGTTCTCCAGAAAAAGTTAATCTACTCTAAATGGCTCTGGTGCTTTTCCTGGGCTCCAATCAATACGTGGTCGCTTGCTTTTCATGTGTAATTCACAGTAATTGCAAAAGAGCGCTTTCTGAAGAAAATGACACTCTGCAAGCAGAAATGCAAAGAGACACAAGGACTAATTGTCTTTAAATCCCAGCACAAGGCACGCTGTCGGACATGCTGGCAAGCTGGAGGTGCTACAGCATCACAGCTCCATGTCCTGGGCTTCTCTCCGGGAAGCTGCTGGAGGTGTTGGAGCGTGTTGTGTCCAGATGGTTTAGCTGGGAAGCTCAGCTGCTTCCAGGTCTGGCTGCCAGGACCTTGGCCTGTGGACCCCCAGCCCAGCAGCTGCAGAGAGAAGGTGGCTGCAGGATTACAAGTTTAGGCAAAGACACATTCCATTCCTGCCACCACAAACATCACTGGGGCCTGGAGGCAGCCGTGCCCCCTGCCAGGCTGTCCCATCCAGACCAGCACTGCCCCTGCACAGCAGCATTCTGCCATCACCCGGGGCTTCTGTGGCCCAGGATGAGCCCTATGTGCAGAGCTGGTGCAGCCTAGCACGGGTCACATCCCCAGGTCTGTCCTGTCCCCTT